TATTAGGTTTAGATTGTATCTGCACATCAACTATAATAATAAATTTTGTTGACTGTCAAAATCATCATTAACCTCTTTGGTAGGTTTAGGTTGTATCTGTACATCAACTATGATAATAAATTTTGTTGACTGTCAAAATCATCATTAACCTCTTTGGTAGGTTTAGGTTGTATCTGTACATCAACTATGATAATAAATTTTGTTGACTTTCAAAATCATCATTAACCTCTTTGTTAGGTTTAGATTGTATCTGCACATCAATTATAATAATAAATTTTGTTGACTGTCAAAATCATCATTAACCTCTTTGGTAGGTTTAGGTTGTATCTGTACATCAACTATGATAATAAATTTTGTTGACTGTCAAAATCACATGATAGATACTGACTATAACATCGTAAACAGAATTTGCAAATTAAGCATGAAAATAACTGGCGATGCATAAAAGACTATGTCTAACTGCAATAGATACCTAGAAGTATATTATTCGGTCACGCTAGCTCTGTTCAGAAAGGCGAGGAAACGGAACAGTTTTCTCGCTGGTAAAACTGCAACAGCCGCTTTGAATGGTTGCATTGAAATAATGTTCCGTGACACCGCGAATGTCGCTCCAGCGATCCAGCATCCGTACAAGGCGAAACCGTTATCGTCCTGCCACCGACGATATCCTGAACAGCAACGTGATCAATGTGACGAGACCTTGCGTGTGCCTCTTAGATATTGAATTACGGTATCGATATCGAATTATACGCCGTCTTGAATCGATACCGGTGGAATAAAAAACCTGACAGACCTCTCCCTCTTTCTTTGAGATACGAGCAAAAGGAGTTTGCGATCTGAGGAGACTTTTAGGCGTACCTTCTTCTCTGAGATCCTTCAAAGCTTTGTATAAAATGAATATCTTGTACATTCTCATATAATCAGTCAAAGATAAATGTCTACTATATGTACAATTTAAAAAATGCAACTTTTATAATGAAGTTGTAAGTCATTGACTACAAACTATTTGTAAAATGTAATTCAAACATTAAATTCATAAATCATCAACTTGAAGAGTGGCTGCCATTTTAATCAAAGAAAAACAACAACTACGTACAGCTTGTTAAATGTACCTCATACATTAAATTCATAAGCCATCAACTTGAAGAGAGGTTGCTATTTTAATCAAAGACAAAGTGCAACTACGTAAAGTTTGTAAAATGTACCTCATACATTAAATTCATAAGTCATCAACTTAAAGAGTGGTTGCTTTTTCAGTCAAAGCTGAACCTCAACCACGTTCAGTTAGTAAAATGTGATTCATTGTTACAAATGTAACAACTGCAGCTGATAATATATTCACATATTGAACTCACAAGTGATCGAATTGTAGAGTGATTGCTATTTCAAACAAGTTGAATCTCAACCACGTAAAGTTGCTAAAATGGAACTCGCATATTGAACCTCTAAGTCATCGAATTGTAGAGTGATTGCTACTTCAATCAAAGCTAAATCTCAACCGCGTAAAGTTTATAAAATGTAACTCACATATTGCATCCATAAGTCCTCGAATAGTAAAGTGACTGCTATTTCAATCAAATCGAATCTCAACCACGTAAATTTTGTAAAACATAACTCACATATCGAACCCCTATGTCCGAAAATTGTAGAGTGATTGCCACTTCAATCAAAGTCGAATCTTAACTACATAAAATCTATAAAATGTAACTCACAAATCCATAAGTCCTCCAATTAAATACAGAATCCTCGAATTAATTACCATTGCAATGAAAGTCTAATAGCAACTACGTAGAGCCCCTAAAACGTAACGTATACTGAACCACCAAGTTATAGAATCGAAGAGTTGTAGGAACTGTAAGGCAATTTCTAACGTATGCGAGAGGCAAGAAAGCACGTGTCCCTCCCCGTCTGCCAGCTGCAAATATCGTGCAAGAGGTCCAACGAAATCCACGGGTGCAATGGAGAACACGGGATCCATCTGGCGTGTGCGTGACCTCCTTGAATTATCCTGACTCTAACTTAGACTCCCAATAACGTTTCGTCCTTTTCACTTCGATCTTGATTGACGTCCACTTAACGAATTTTCGGGACTTTTTAATCACTTTTGTTATTTAAATGTCGGCTGCAGAAATCTCGTTTTAGAATACAAAATTCTCATCCACTTTCAGAATATAGAATCCTCATCTGGTTTTAGAATACAAAACTCTCATCTGGTTTTAGAATACATCTCGTCTCGTTTTACAATTTAATAACAAATAATTTCCAAATTCTACTTTTACCGAGTTTCTAAAGCAACAGTGCTTTAAAAGAGCTAGATGCTATCGATTATACTTCTTTGTCCAGCTTCCTCCGCGTTAAATTTCACGTACACCCTATAGAAGGAAGGGTAGCTCCAAGGGTAGTTTCCACCCCAACTGATGGCCAATCGTAGCTCGTGCACGCCCAGTGACGTCACCCTTACCACCCTACACTGTAATTAGCCAATCCCGACGTTGGGTGGCCTGCACCCAACCCCTCGAACGATTATATTTACGAGCCAATGATTTCTGCACACGACCGGTTACCTGTATGCTCGAATGTATGCGTTTCTATCTAAAATTGCAAAAGACGCCACGGTACAATGGTTCCCTTCGTGCTTCCTTTTTCATCAGTTTTCATCCCCTTACTCGTTTTTTTCTCTTTCTTTTATTTTGTACTGGAGCGCTTCGTTCGTTTTATTTTGTGCAAAAGCACTTCTAGCGTTGGTTTTATTTTGTGCAAAAGCACTTCTAGCCTTGGTTTTATTTTGTGCTAGAGCTTCTAGCGTTTGTTTTATAGGGTGGCATTTATATGGTGTGGATGCTCGAGAGGTTCAGCAAGGTTTATGGTGACTGTAGGTTTATAGTGACAGTTGAATTGCAAATTTTTATTAACACAAAAAGAGATTTAAATTTAATCTCTTTAATTTCTTTAAACAAGAAATGTGTCTCATTCTTTTAATATGTCTTCTCGTGGTTTAATTTCAAGTATAAGGAGACTGATATTCTCTTGGAATATTGAAAAACTTCTCAAACTAGAATTTATAGAATATATACAATTTTTATGGAACTTGAGAAGTGAATTGTCGAGTTGCAAATTTTTATTTAAACACAACACAAGCCTCAGGACGACATTCTCCTTTGACATATCATTATTCCCGTGTTTTAGTTAATAAATATATTTATATGAGACTTTCTTCATCTATTAGAAGAACTCAATATTAAAACCACTCCTCTGAAGTTTATAGAATATATACAATTTTAAAACCACACCTCTGAAGTTTATAAAATATATACAATTTTTATTCAGTCTGAGAAGTGAATTGTCGAATTGCAAATTTTTATTGAAACACAACAGAAGTTTCATAGGTACAATTCTTTCGACATATTCTTCTCGTGTTTTACAAGTATAATTACACAAGACTTCGTCTATTAAAAGAACTGAATATTAAAGCCACCCCTCTGAAATTTATAAAACAACTACAATGTGTATATCATAAAATATATACAATTTTTAAACAGTTTAGGAAGAGATGAGACCATGAGGAGATTATGGACATCATTGACAAAGGATCTCAAAGAAAAAAGTACTAGCATCTTCAAAGATCCGAAGATAGCGATTACAGTGTAGTAGAAGATAAAACTCTGAAGAGATCGTTGACAGTAAAAAACAGGAGTACAATATTAGCGATTCTCGGACGTGGGTGCGTTCGAGTATCGCTTTCTACAGTTTACGGATAATCCGCTTAGGCAGACCTGGCCTGTCATCGTCTTTGGTGGCATTGTTGGCGGCGTTTTGAGAGAAAACAGCATTTTCGACGCTCGAGGTGGCGACAAGAACAGGGCTTAACTTATCTCCGTCACAACAACGACATCTTCTTTTCGCGTGGGATTCTTGATACACCTGATGCTGCAACCCTCAGGAAATAGTATATCTATGTGATCGGTACTGTTGACTCTCGTTATATTGCAACGAATGCTGTTGATAATGTATTGTTATTGTCATCGAATTAGATCATCGAAGTAGGTCTACGAAAATTTTGTTTAGGGTTGTAACAAACAAGTCTTTTAATTTTAAAAGCGTGAAAAATTCTGACAACAGTTATTCTGAAAGACTGTAGACTTTCACGAAGTTTACAAAGCTTGAGGGCTTGTAATTTTTTAACAGAGAGGTCTTTTAATTTTAAAAACAAGAAAGATTCTGAAAATTGTGGTTCTAAGAGATTGTGGACTTTCACGAAGAAAATTTACAAAACTTGTGGACTTCCACGAAGAACTGAAAGTTTGCAAAACTTGTGAACTTGAAATTGGTAAAAGTAAACTAGAAAAATTGGTTCCGTAACAAAGTTGGATAACGTATGATTTTTGTGATCAACGAAGGGGTTGTCGAAGCCACCCCTCGCATAATCCCATGAATACATAATCCAGATGCAAACAGCCGGCACGCGTGTCTCGTTTTAGAACGGCCGTGATATTTCACGGATTACGAATATTTGCGCTTGAGTTTCACGGTATCTCGATCGGTTTCTCGAATCTATCTTGTGTGTGGAGCGGAAAAAATGAATCGAAGAAGTTGATGGATGAGATCGATTTAATCTGACGGTAAAAAACTCTAACATGATGCATTTTCGAGAAGGCGGGGAGAAATGTATGCACTCAAACTTTCTGATAAAATTATTGTGTTAATTCTGGCAGAATAATTAAAATCGAACGTCAAGACACTTAACTGAAAAAGTAAACGAAAGTCTTATTCTGATTTCTTAAACTACGAATCGAATTAAACTGAAATATATTTTGAAGGAGGAGGAGAAATAAATTCAGTCAAATTTTCTAACAGAATTATTATGTCAGTCAAAATAATAAAAATCGACGAAACACTTAATTGAAAAAGTAAACGGAAATCTTATTCTGATTTCTTAAACTACGAATCGAATTAAACTGAAATATATTTTGAAGGAGACGGGGAAAAATGAACATCGAGTCAAATTTTGTAATAGAATTATTATTCCTCAGTGGCTGATTCCTTAAACTAGGATCGATTAGTTCGAACGAGAACGCACGGGAACGAAATTAAGGCAGTCGGAGAAGCTCGATAAACAGGACACTCCTGTGCACTCAACCCTTCTGCACCGTTAAATAATTATTTAAAATATTTCAGTGTATTTAATATCACTTTTGTCAAATTTTTTAACAACGATGCACGAGGGTTAATCTGATATTGGCAGAAGTTCGCATCTTAAAAACAAAATACTAATCTAAATTTCGACGACAGTGAATTTCTAATCTCACAAGCTTTCTAAGCTTACGAGATCTAAATATGTGTAGCAGTCGTTTTATCGAGTGACATCGTTAAAAATATGATCAGTCGGAATAAAAATCGAAATACTCCACGATAAAAAATAAACGAAATTCGTCCCTGGCTCGTTCTCAGGCCTTTGCACTGGTGCGATCGCAAATAGTACGAGAAATAGTACGATTATTATATAGAAAATATTCTTATCCTTATTTACATTAACGTACAAAACTAGAACGTTCTAGCTGACGGTTAATAGGCGTATAATAATCTTCGTTAATTGTGTATTCTATCGTTAGTCGAAAATTGTGTCACCCCTGCGCCAGAAGATTTGCCAATATGGAAGATATAAACATTATATTGCGAATCCGACGCTGAGGGGTTAAAAAAATCTATGAGATAAACTGGCACGATCAAAAACGAAAACCATCCGTGGATCGTTTGTGTTTTCAACGGTAGCTTAACAGAAAATAAATTAGCAGATCCACGAAAGTCGCAGTTATATTAAAGATATCTCTACGGTAAGCGCTACGTGTTACAATTAATTGAGCGCAGACAGCTCGTAATATTTGTTCGTTAAGAGTGCAAAGGCTTAGACAATGAAGGCGTAAGTATGTACAGATCGATCGCGGGAAACTGGATCGTTGTCGATTTTAAGGTTCAACACCTTAGCTGCAAATTATCACGATATCTTCCATTATTTAGACATACCTCCGTATACACCGTATTCTTGTCACAATTACAATTGTAATCGTATTTTGCGAAAGAGTAAATCAACCTCCCAATTATTATACATTAACCTTTTCATGATTCCTGCAAACTTGCACAGTAAAAAATTTAACCACTTTCATAAATTCGCAATGATATGTAAAAAGAAGATTTGAAAAACGGCGTATAAAAATCCCGCAGCTAACGTGTCGCATCCAAAAGTGGACGATAAGGAATATTGTACAGGATATTTCAAAATGGACGTACACGAAAGGAGATTCTTTACGGAAAAAATGTATCGAAAATTTTGGACACTCAAAGTATCCGAAAGTCGACTCGTTTTTTTTATGAAGAATCTACAACTTTTGTGGTGTACTTTTTGAGACACCGTATGTTCACACTCACTCTCGGCTCTCTCGCACTTTCTCTCCCTTATAAAAATAAGTTGGACGGAACCGACGAGTCTCCTCGTGCTCTTATGTATTTTTGCCTGTATTTTTCCTTTCGGAACGCGTTCACTACCGGCGCTATCGACGACGACTTTTTTCGAAAATATAATCTTCAGGCCATGTCCGTTAGTCTTTCACGATGAAATGTTTATCAAAATAAAAATAAAAATTGATTAGAACAAAGTTCTGTTCCATCGAGAATTCGGCGGGATCGAATTTCTCTTCACATCTTCTTTTCCTTCGAAGTGTCAGGATTCTTGGAGCTACAAAAAATATTCTCTGATTTGGCTGTAAAGGTGATTTACTTGATATAAAAACAGACTTGATAAAATCCATAAAATCTGCAGCATGTTACAAGGATCATACAGTTTAAAAATTTCAATCTGTTGAGGAATTAGAATTTTCAGTCGTGTCAATAATTCCGTCGTTAATTTTAAAAAAATACTGTTTCGAAAAATACTCGATATTGTCGAACGATTAAAAACAACCGCCGATTAAATGCACCCACTCCGCTTAAACGCAAATTCGAAGAGAACGTGTCGGCAGCCTATCTTCTGATCCCGAAAAATTGTCACTGGAACACGATGTACCGAAAAGGTTACAAAAAAGAGGTTTACAAGTTATTTAACAATCTAGAACAATAATGGGGACTCTTGTAATATTGTCACGAATGGAGATATAAAAGCGACAAATGCTTAAAATTAACAGATGCGCACACTCTACCCATTAATGTTTTAGATTGAGCTATATATTCTTCTTACATGATCAAGAAATTAGACTGCAAAGCAAAACTTCCAATGATCCAAAAACCAGTCTTCTCTCGGCTCACGAAACGCTTCGTGCAATATCAAGGGCAAAACATAGCTACGCGATTAGTACCTCTTTTTTTTTTTCGTTTTTTCCTTTCTTTTTCGTTTTTATTAATGAACGGACGCAAATGGCTGTTGCAAAAATACAATTTGTTATTTCTCATCTTTCCGTAATAAGTCTAGCAAAAATGTATTACTATCTAATACTTCTTAATTAACACGCTTCGTCATCGCCGTGTTATGATTACGCGGGATTGGCAAGAAGGCCGTCGAAAAACATCGGTTTTATATCTTTCCCGCGAACGCGAGAAACTGCATTTTTGAAGAAAAATTTCGTCGTGAACTTTGTTAGAGTACATCTGGCGTACGCTACCACTCAAACATCTTGGTACTCGTAGACGTGCAAATTTTCATGTTATGAAAATTGTTTTTGTCGAAAAACGCTTCCTTTAAATCTAATTTTGTTCCTCAAATATTACTCCTTATCACAAGCATTCGTAATTTAAAAATTAAGTTTGTTACATCCAAGACTTTTGAGCAACAGTGCACATCTAAGTGTATATATAATATAACGCAATATATTATATAATGTACGATACTTTACAATATTTACTGTGCCTCGATTGACGAAACTTTTCTCTTGTTCCTTCGGGAACAGCTCTCAAGGTCTGAGTCCATGAAATACCGTCGTTCGTTTAGGAGTACAAGCGCTTCAACAATGAAGGCGTTACGTATATGTATATATGTACAATTAAAACCACACGATGGCCGAACGACCCTGGATTTAATCAACTAGTTGTTACACTCCTAAAATCTCTCCACGGCCGTTCATCAGGCGACTTTCGTTCCACGCTTTTTATGCCGACGATTGTAGAGCAGCGGACGAAACGAGACGAGGGAAGAAGGAAGGAGGAGCCATCCTCGACGTCCACTATGGCGTCCAACGGGATGAAGCAGTTCGAAAGCACGTTCCTTCATGGTCGACGGCCATCCACTTCCATTGCGCTCGAATTTTTGTCAGGTAACGACCAGCCTGGTGGTCGAATTCTCCAAACGCTTCAGCCGTGGTCACTCGAGGCTTCGTATGAGGACGGCCAGCTCTCGGAACGAGGCTCCTAATTTGCCCGTGGTTGATTGCTTCTTCAGCAGGATGCTCCTGATTGTGCACAGCTTCTCGTAGCAGGAGAGACACTTGTGGTAGCTGTGGAACAAAATGTAGAGCAAAGTTAGAAATGATAATATTTCTTTTAAATTTGACAATATGATAATATTTGAAGTTTGAGTGAATTTACCGTTCCTCTCTTGACACATCGACGCCGATGGTGTGAAGAGGCGCCTCCACGTTGGACTTGATGACCGATGCGAAATTTCTCAGGATGAGCCTCAACGCCGAGGAGCCCACCGTTATGTACCTATAACAGTAACAAATTGTTAGAAACCGGAGGAACAAAACGACAATGAATCACGATGCGAAGAGAAAGTACGAACACCCACCGGTGTCACGGCTAGTTTGTTCCAAAACGTGTTATTAGCCCATTATGACGCCAATAAATAACGAAAGGCACGAAAGGCTTGGTCGTACCATTCGACACGCTCGCTTTCGACGATAAAGGGTTCGCGCGAGCTCCCGTTCGAATCGGCGAGACGAATCGAACGGGCCGCCTCGTAAATGTTCCACGGTACAGTGTGAACATTCTGTAACGGACTACACCCTGTTTTTAGCGATACTATGGTCATCTCTGGGATAAAAATCCTAAAATTTTCGATCAACATCAGAATCGATAAATCCGAAAACGACCCTCCATGCGATATTCCATTCGATATTCATTGGCCTTTTTTTTCTCACGGCACCTTTGACCAGGACGAAAGGCCGTGACGAACGAACCGTGAAAACGACTAGTATGCAAACGGCTCTGCATTACGCCCGAGATGTGTATATTTAGCCGGCAATTTGCTGGATGGATTCACCCTTTCGCCGGTTGTCGAACCGTGACTCGAAAGTACCGTAATCGACCTGGATGATGAGTAGATTCGAGGTCATACTTTGAATCGTGCTTGAAGCCTCGTTAATCAGTCGAACGTGATCGAAGAAAGCTTGAGTTAAGCGTTCATTCGTTAAATTAGAGAAATGCTTTTTCTCATTGGTCTTCGTCGTTATACACTTTCTTTGAAAATTACTAGCCATCAGAGCGTGCGTTTTAGTTTCAAGCAGCTGTCGAGCGAGCACAATTAGCTGAATTTGTGGAAAGTGGATAACGAAATTTCGAGCTCCTTACAAACAGACGTAATACTTTCACTATCACCGAAATTATCAGGATTACGAAATTCTTAATCACGTCATTAAGAATTCGAGATGTTTTTAGTTTAAAAATTCTTATTTTATCGATAATGAAAATCGTAATCTCAGTATTTTTACTTCAGCTAATAATAGTAATGACAGAGAAGCGATGATTGTAGCAATACGCGTGACGAATGAAGCGGCAATTTTCCAGACCGCTAACTCGACGTTCTAAACGTACTATTATTAGATCGTCTCTTTCAATTAATACAGAAAGAAAGTTGATCGGGCAAAATTATCGCGAGAAATTCCATAAAATAATTTAATGTCAGCTTATGAAATACTTATTTATCGCGGTTGGTTGCACAAGACATTCTGTCGACGTTAATGGGACTATTTATAATGCGCATCGTGCGTCATTGGAAGAATAGGGCAGGAAGAAATGCACACGTGAAAGGAAATGCTCGTTTCTTCGTCATGACAGCACAACAGCAACAGCTTGTAACTGAGCACCGGCTAATTGCACCGTGTCCAACATCAGACTCGCACCATTCAATTTTCCTCGTTGTGTTGTCTGAGAACGATTGTACTGTCACTTGCCATCTTTTACACGATGTAAAAAAATTTATAGAGAGAATAGGAAGAATTCATTCTTACTTTAGGACCATAAAATGTAGAATATACCAGAAGCATGAGCAAACCGGATTTTCCTGAATCGATAAAAAAACGCGTTATATTCTTCCTACGCATCATTAATATTCATGATCAGCTGTCAGACGAGAAAGAAGAGGATCCATGGAGCGTCAACATATGCGAGCGCGTGGCACTCGGAACAAAACGAGCGCACGAGGAGGCTCGAATTTGCATCTGCCACTGTCTTCCATTGTCTTGGCTAATTTCGCGAACCCTATTTCTTGCAATCCTCTTCGCCTCGTGTTTCCCCGTTCGACAAATTAGCCATTCCCATACCGTGAGCCGCGTGAAGTGACGCGACCCCACTTCAAACGCCCTGTTTGCTTTTGCATTCGAGAACTCGCCCCTCCGCATCAAAGGGGTGGCTCGATTTTCTCTGATTCACGGAGCGTGTAGTGTTTCACGCGAGGTAACGTTACACGCGAACGTGTACCACGAGTGTATCGTATTTTGAAATCGAAAAACAAGACGGTACTCACATCTCGTATTTACTCTGAAGCAGGTCCCCGATCGGACCGAGCAACGCGTTACATAGATCCAGGTTCCACATTGTTCTGTAAAAATGAAAGAATAGTGAGAATGTAAAAGTGGAATATGATCATTGTATTGTACAGCAATTTCACTCACGGTTTTAAGGTCAATATTCCCAACAGATCCACGACGACTGCGAGATCGTTCATCGCTACAGCTGATTGAACCGCGGCCTGAAAGTTTAATTCTCTTTAGGTCTCACATTATTTTATCGATAATAAACGAGACATTACCTTAAGATCTTTATTGTGCCAGAGAGAGTAGATGATCTGTAAGGAGCGATGGCGATTCGTGAGTATCGTCATCATCGGCTCGTGACCTCTCATCATGCTGTTGAGTACCTCAGCCTCCGACATTTCGTTCAGAACTCCCATCGGAGTGTATCCCAGGCCCGCCGAACTCGCAAAATGATTCTGTTAAAAACACGATTATGTTTACACATTAGATTTTTAATTATTTTTTAAATTATGATAACTCACCGGTAGGAAAGCTTCTACATCTAAACCGAAAGGTTTATCAGTGTTTATAGGGATAAACTCTTCCTTCTCCGTGGTCTCGATGTTTGGCCTCAGTTGAGGAGTACGAATTTCTACCTTAGGATTCGGGGGCACTTGAGCTTTGTTTGATTTCTTTGTGGCAAAGGTGGTAGCTGTGGTAGCGTTGCGCGACGCTGAGGTAGGAAAGTTTCTGTTGAGAGACGTAGACCTGGACTGCGCGGAATTTGGCCTGTTCAACGCAGGGTCAGAGGGACTATGCCTTATATTATTAATTCTGAAACGAGTTCAAATAAATATTTGTGACGTGAAATAAATACTTGTGACTCGAAAGGAAATATACTTACTGTACCGGATAATCGCTTTCGTAACCCTGTTCCCCATCTCTGCAACTACTTTGTCTTTTCAAGTAGTGCTTAGGAGAATCCGGGCTAGGTGCTCTATTCTTTATTTTCCCATCGTCCATTACTGGAAGAACAGCGGCCATTGGTGCCACGCGCGGTGTCAGCGTAGAATTTGATCTTTGTGGACCCAAAGGTTGTGGAAGTGTTCCCATGTCACTGGTAGGACCAGATTTTTTCCCGGGGAAAGGCGTGATGCTTTGTCTAAGAGGAGGTATGGACGCCAGATTCTTCGACGTTCTGGCAAGACCGTTGTTCGTTTGAAGATTCGCCTTTATCTGACTCGTGGAGGTGATGGCATTCCTCTGAACAGGTGGCGATGACTTTATTGGTTGAACACGTACTGGTACGGGTTTCGTTAACGATAACGTTGGTGCAGGTGGAGGCGGAGACGACGGCGATACTATGGGCGGAACTTCCTCTGAATCCATCATATTTATGTTTGACATTGAGGTAGAAAGATTTTGCAATATCTGTGGTTGTGTGGGATCTGAAAAATGAATGTATGAAAGACAATGTATAACATAGACATTTATGTACGGATATTTGTAAATTGAAGTCCATGCAATTCTGGTGTAGAAGGAAAAAGACGGAAAGAACTCACCTAATTCTTGAGGCTCCTGGAAAGCCTCAGGTTCTGGGGGTGGAGTGCGAGACACTGAAACATATCGTGCACAGCATGCTCATTCACAAACCATACAGCACAACATTCAACTTTTAGATGCATTTATATTTTTAGGCTTGTGATTAGAGATAGATAGTAAAGGGTTAGAACAAGCCGGGAAAAGTATGTTACGATACAAAGACCTTGCAATAAAGGGCGAGTAGTAGAATAGTATGATATTTACGCGCTCTATTTGGTTGAAAGACTTCATCGTATTCGGTGACACTGGGTATATCAGCATAAGTTGCTTCATCCTCTGGGTCAGTTCCAGATTTGTCTGCCTCTTCAATAGTTCGTACATCTACTCTATATGAAAAATAGAACGATTATATACAAGAAAAGTATAGTATTAAATGTAAAACTTATCGTGAAACTTACGTATGTTTTTTTAAACCCGGTGGTCTTTCTCTAGAGAAGCTTTTCCTTAACGAATTCCCGTGACTAAATGGGGAACCGGATGTTGAAACTCCTCCCAGCGGAGCAATTTTTTTCAAATCGCATACGTACAAAACAATATTTGCAGTGTGAAAACTTGCACCAATCTGGAAAGTTGATAGTCATTAATATTAATTTATAATTCGATATCCCTTCCGCTAACAAATATAGCCTTACCAGCTGGTTCTGAGCTATAGCTATATCTTGTACTTTTCCCCAACCAGTTGGGACAGAATCTAACGTTCTACCTGGTTCCCAGCCATAAACCTTTAGCACATCATGGCAACCAGCAAAAAGACATTCTCCACCTTGACTGAAATAGAGACACCTAATTGCCGAGGAGTGGCTTTGTTCTGTAGAAGATACAAGCTGAAAGGACTCTAAATCCCAGAAATGAGCTGTTCTGTCTGCGCTACCACTAGCTAATAAGAATTCGTGTGGATGAAATTCTACTGTTGTTGCTGGTCCTCTGTGTTCTGAGAATTCCCTAAGTTGTCTGCCAGCTCTTAAATCCCATAACTAATTTGAAAGAAAAATAATTATTAATTAGAACCATTGATTTAAACAATGTTAAAGTCACATGGCTATAATCATCACCTTAACCATTCCTTCCTCTCCTGCACTAGCAATCCATTGACCATCAGGACTAAATTTCAAACTGTTCACCATTCTATTATGTCCCTTATATGTGAATATACATCCTTTCCTCCTAATGTCCCAAAGCTTAATAGCGGTGTCCAAACTTCCTGATGCCAACAATTCTCCATAGGGATGAAAATCCATGCATCGTATACCTGCTTTATGTCCTGTCAATGTACGAGCTAATTTGGCATGTTCCAAGTCCCAAATTTTTAATGCTCCTGTCTGTGAGCCAGCACATACTAAGTCTTCTGTTTGTCCAAATCTTACGCATTCTATCGGTGTGGTATGACCACTCAGGCTCTAAAGATATTACAATTATATGAAGAATAAGTTACATGTTTACATTACTATTTTAACAAGCAGACAGGATGAAAATATACCATAATACAATTCTGCTTTCCAACAGCCCATAGATTCACCTTCTTGTCATCACCACCAGTGACCAAAACACGTCCAGACTTGTGGCCTAGTGCTAGACAATTGACATTGGACGAGTGGGCAACAAAATCCTCTGCGCAAAAGGAAACAGTAAATTATAAATTGATCTGAACATAGTATTAACTTGCAGTGACATTATAGAGACAATGTGTTTGCTATTCAACGAAGGTTATGACCATAATAAAAAAATGCAAACGAACAATATATCCATTGAGATGATTTGTAAACAGAAATTGTTTACTCATATCTAAGAAGAGAGCGCCAGAACGGTATCTACTGGATCCACACTGTGCACCGACGTATTTTTAAATAAATAAATTGTATGCTGTAAGAGTGAAAATCGCTTACGGAGTTTCCATGATCTCTTCGTGGACGAAGCCATATTCCGGGACCACAGGATTGCGTTGTGCACGACTTATTTGGCAACGACAACAATTTGAGATTTCAACTTGCGGATGCACAATTTTTTTTTGCTTGAATTCGTGGGTAACATTTTTACTTGGTGTTATTGCTTGATTAAAAAGACGATTGTTCAACGGGGCGGCAGCATGTTGCCGCGCTGTGGTCCTGAAGGCGATCCTTTCCTTGAAATTTCTGTCCGTTTTCAGAAACCGTTCGTACCACCTCTTCGTCGTATCTCATTTCTTGAATCTGCCTGTCCGTGGGTAGCGCGAACCAACGTGACGTTGAGAAATATCGAAGTTCTGTTTCTATCGAGATCACGTTCCAATTGATCGCGCCAGATGTCACCAGTTCCTCGGTCAATTGAATTTCGCTGTAGCATCAGGCGCTGTTGCTTATCAAAATAAATAATATTCAAAAACTTGCTATCAGGAACTGCATCGTAACTTATTAATAGAGCGGTTGGCAAATGCCGTATTATTACGTACGATTTACTTGTTACGTTACGAATGACATAATGACGTCTCATGACGTATTTGTAAACATTTAGGACAGAGGTTACAATCTTCGTATTGTCAGTTCGTAAAATTAAAAATGTTTCGAAGTTTGTGTTCACGTACACTTGTAAATGAAAGTAAAGCATTGTTTCCGAAAATATTCAACAGACATTATGTAAACTATGTGCAAGGACAGTCACCACAACCTGGAATTAGGGAATATTTTTATTATATAAATCATGAAGGCATGGTATAATTTATTTTCTGGATTAGATTTGTTAAAGTTTTAAAGATTACGAAATTATATTTTCTATGCTTTTTATACTATAGTTGTTCCTGGATGATGCTCGTGTGAAAAACTTTACCTCATGTTTCAAAGGTTTGCATAAGTTTTGAAATAATCTTTTATACATACAACACACATCATATAAGCAATGTCGTTTTAGATACAAAGTTTTTGATTTTCTTTTTCAAGAACTTGGGCATAAATGTTACTAACAGATATACAGAGGATTTTCCTTATATATCTCGTTGTGGAAGGGAACTTAATTTTGTCAGATGCGATGATTTGCCATTTGTTTTTACAAAAATTGTTCAAACAAAAGATGATTTAACGGGTGAGGTTACCGATGTTCTATTTTATGCTCGTGTAGAAAAGCTACTACAGGTAGATTGAACTTTTAACAGTATTTGTATTGTTTTATAGTTAACTGTTAATGCAGGAAAGGAATAATTACAGGTTAAGTTTCAGCCAGACAAATTATATATGAATGTTCACTCAGGTAGAATATATCATCCTGCACCAGCCAAAGGAGGAAAAATTGGTTTAGTAGCATCAAAACTTGCAATTGAACTTAGCTCACAATTCGAGTTTGAAAATGGCGAAGAAAATGCTCCAACTCATTTTAATTGGAGAGGTAAAAGATATTCTCTTGATACAGATTGGGTGAAGTTAACCCACATAAAAGTAAATAATCTTGGTTCTTAATTAGAAGAGAAAACAAAGTATGGTATATGAACAACTTTCATAAAATGTATGTATATTTCAAACAATAACAAAAATTGTATATTATTCACTATATAATAGATTACATTAAGGTAGAGATGAAATATCAAAAATTCTAGCTGTAGAATCGTCAGATGTTGTCAAAGCTTTTTCTCCATTCCTAAAAAAAAACTTGTTTTAATATTATAAACAGAACAATATTCACAATTATTTTTACTTACTCAGATATATATAGATCAAGAATATCTGCAGTGTGACCTTTAAATGATCGTATACACTGACCATTTCGTCCATCGAAACACCTAAGAATACCGTCCAAGCCTGTTGAAAACAGAATAGCGGTATTTCCTTTCCACAAGATTTTAGATACACCACTTTCTTGTTCTATCGTTTGGCGGAGTATCTATATAGTTTCAGTAAAAATTATTGATAGAAGGTTGGAAATATAGTTGTATTCAAATAGAAAAGAGAAAGTAATAGTACCTGTTTTGAGATATCCCAAATAAAAATTTCTCCATTAACAGTTCCAGTTGCAGCAACTTGAAATGTAGAATCTTTACAGAAAGCTGCTGTTTCTACCCAATTGCTATCATTATTTCCTTCACTATTTCCAGCCACTTGATCAGTGTTGGTACTGTTATTTTGTTCACGATTATTAAGACTTTGCAGAACAGAAATAATCTGTGATTTAAAAATTGCATTATTTTAATGTTGGTTGATATAAAAACTGTCATTTTTATTACCTTTCCTGTGTTTGATGAGCTTATTATTGTTTTTCCATCCACAGCTGCAGAGAGTATTAGATTGTTGTCTGAATGACAATCAATTGTAGTTATAGTGGAAGTATGACCCATTACAGAGGAGACAGATGACAGCACAGAACCAGACTTTAAATCTATGACTCTAATAACTCCATCCTCATAACCTACCGCAATGCGTTTACCTAAACCATAAATAAATTCAATTTCAATTAAGTTACAATACTTAAGATTCAGAAAGACAGTTCAAAGACAGTTACCATCTGGAAATATTGCACCAGTCTCTGCCCTACATCCAAATCCTTGAAAGACCTTACAGTCTCCATCAGGCATTTTCCACATATATACTTCTCCATCTACAGACCCTCCTAATAAGACATTTGCAGCCACATGCCACTTCATCCACTGTAATGATATACTTTACTAATATTCATAATCACATTAGACACATAGAAAATATATAATAAACCAACTGTTGCATCTCCCATATTATAGTTCCAAACCCTGACTTTGTCAGACATTCTCCAAACTTGCATCATACCGCTCATATCTCCGGTAGCCAAATACGATTCATCGTGATTAAATTCTGAAAAAATAATACTATCTTTGTGATCCACACAGTCAAGAATAATTTCTCCAGTCGATGTATTCCACACATAAGCTTTATCCTCTTCTCCTCCTGTAGCAGCCAACTTTCCATTTTTGGTCAAAGAACCGCAAAAGACAGAACCTACAATTTTATATAATAAAATTATGATTTTGGCCTAATATCAGAATTAAATTAACAATTTGAACATTATTAACCTCGTTTATGACCATTAAACACAAAAATTGCATCTCCTTCCTCTGGAGCATCTTCTTCCATTCCATCTTCATCTTCAATTTCTCCTGTATCATATGTATCTATTACTTCTTCTACATCACCTATGTAAACCATATCTTCGTCTTCCACCTGATTATTCATGTCTGGTGAGGATGGCGGTGTATCCTTGTGCATGATTTACCTTAAGAACTTAATAAAGCGTGCAACAGGTCATGTTTTAAAGTGATTATGGATATATTTAAGTAAGAGATACGTGAAGAAAATAAAACATTGTTGATAATGATTTAGCGTTCTTTCCACGTGCAAGTTGTGTAACTCGTTAGATTTTTACCTTTATTAAAGCAGCGAGAATTATGCTCGAAGCTTATCGTTCAAAAATTTGGAAATTCAAATGCCCGTCAACAACAATCGGATATCTCAAACATCAGCTGATTCGGAAATCACATGGTGTTAAAACGATAGGGACTTTTCATTTAGTTTTGTTGGTAAGCAATAATGGTCTTATACAACTAGCGACCTCTGCAGTAAAAAAAGAGCTTACCATCTGATGCAAAGTTAATTTTCTTCAATGAAAATTCAATTGAAATTGGATGTGTAAACTTGAACAATTTCAAGTGTTCTAATTTCGAAACCTATTATGCTCACTGATATACAAACTAATCTTGTTCTAAATAACTGTGCAATAATCAGATTTTTGCACGAAATTAATTTGTCTCACATTCAATTGTTCTTTTGATTCTCGCCAATTTTGCAATAAAACATTTGAAATACGGTTGTTATGCAATTAAGATCTAATCATGTTCAAGTAACCGACAATTGTCTACGCGCGTAGAGTGTCTATACAATTTGGACATGCAACTTGTGGTGTACGTCAATCGCACTTCTGGTTTCATCATCCGTCTCATCCGTTCTCCCACTCTCTCCTCGTACGATCGTTCTTCCTTGTCTGGTTGCCACCTTTTCCCTATTCCTTTCTTCATCGCCTTGTATCCATCTCTTTTTATGAATAGAGGTGTACGCCCGACAGCCGGCAGTCTCGGTCAAGCTTCCGTACGGTGTGTCTGTCATATTCGACTTCTTTTTTTTTTTTCAAAATTTCTTCATGTCTTTGGTGTACCATAATTTTCCCAATTTCAATGAAACGTTTACAAAAGTCGTATCGATCGATTCAATCTATAGAAACCGACAGATGTACAGAAATCACGAGATACCATCGTCCAGCTTTTGATGACTCTTCGAGGAAACCATGGATCATGGATCAAACGAAATTTCGAAAGATTAACTTGACGGGAAACTAAATAACGATATACACCGAGATACGACACGTCAACTGGAAAATGGCATCGAAGATATTGAAGTACCGCCAAATAGAAGATATAAAGAGAATAGACACGTGGTCCAACGATGAATAGCAAAACAAAACTCGCAAATTTGTGGAACAAAAGTGGGAGGAAGAAAATTAGTATATTGTAGCGGGAAGAAGAATTTCTTAGCAGTTGAGCTTTACAGTGTTGGACGGTTTGGAGGGAAAAGACCATTAAAGCCACGTGCCGCGCACTTGCCAAATTGATGATCATTCGCTGCAACGTTTGAAAGATAAAGAAACACGAAAAAAGACAAGTTTTCCCGTCGACGATAATTCTAAAGCATATTGACTGTGAAATTGTTTATATTAGAGGGTCAGTTTACGTACATCCGCATGAGGATGCACTCATTTGAATATCAAACGTCAAATATTTGAAGCGTGTCTCTTTAAACATTAGCAAATATTATCAAATGCGTGGGAAGGGGAAAGTGTACACACCGTTTCTGCAAGATCGTTTTAATACAAAAAGAAAACATTTATCGAAGATAAAAAGTACGATACGCGTTTGGAATCCAATAAGATATGCCTAGATTTGAGGATAAAAGCTAGATCAAGTCGAATTAGAGGCCCGTATTCAGATTGTGAACCGAACGATTCGATCACGTTTTTCGAACGTTTAAAATGGAAAGCAGGAACGAGAACACTGGCCTGTGGGTGTTCGGATACGGATCTTTGTGCTGGTATCCTGGTTTCGAGTACAAAAGAAGCGTCGTAGGATACATCAAGGGATTTAGCAGAAAATTTTGGCAAGGGAATACCACCCATCGCGGTACCCTTGAAAACGTAAGTTGCGAACGGCTTTTTATTACTTCATGTAATTTACACGTTGTCACGTGACCTTCTGAAAAAATGTAAATAATACGTGCTAATGTTATGCTGATAGTTGCAATGACGTAAATGAGTCGATGACTTCAATTTATCTATTCCACAACATTTTTTGTTTCCACTTCTAAATTTCCGGAAATTTATTGTGGAATTCTCTTTTCAACTGTTCCTAGTTGATGCTAATTTTAATTTCCGTCAATTAGAGTCCATTGACCACGCATATAGCTCCTCGTGCGACTTAATTCTATTTATATTTTTAAATTTTGCGTTCATGAATCCGCCACGTGAATACTTTTACGAGGTTTTGGCAAGCTACTACTGCGTTATAAACATGAGATTCCACTTGGCACTTAGTGGTCACAATGTATCGAAATGAGAGAAATGTTTTCATGAAATGTACCTAAAAAGTCTTGTGACATTTTATCGATAAAGATTATATTACCTCAGTGATGTATGTAAGAGCAAAATAGCTTTCCTAAATAAAATTATATATAATGGTCACGGAAATGTACCGTCAATGGGTACTTACGGATGTTCCTATTAAGAGTAATGGAAATCAGATAGAGTTTCACCCATAGATCCAATTTCTCCAATTGATATAATGCAGTTTCAGAGATTGAATTTATTGCTTTCTATCAATTGTACCGCGTTAATTAAATTCTGTTATAAACTGTTAAGACTTTGTATTGTTCCCACGAGTAACAAACCGGAAGTGATATGGCGTCCCATAAGAAATATGGCGGTCTCCGGAAGTTACAAAATCTATAGATAAATTAGGAAATGAAAGAAAATAGTATCGTGAGTTATACCAGTTATCTATTATTAAAAACCAGAATTTCTCCTGGTTTCGCGTTACAGTATTCGATTAATGCGAAACCAGTTACAACTTGTAGAAACCGATATCTTTCGAACACAATTTTGTGTCCTGTATTTGTGCTACTTATTTACGTCATACCAGTTGCTAAGCTTCTCATTGTTTCCGTTATATTTGTTCATCGATCAATAATGATTTATTTTCTTTTTCTTGCAGCCTGGACGCGTGGCTACATTGGTCGAAGAGACGGAGGTAATTTTTAATTATTTTTATAACTTAAGATCGTATACTTTCATTTAATTACTGGTCATTGACAAACATTTGTTTCGCAATAAATCACAGCTGTGTTTCTTTGTCAACAGGGTATTGTTTATGGTCGTGCGTTTGAAGTCCAGGATAGCGCAGCTCTGCCATATTTGGAAAATCGCGAATGCACTTTAGGAGGATATATGACTACGATTACAACGTTTTATGACCGCGGGGGAAACAGAAAGTTTCCTGTGATCCTTTATATAGCTACCAACAAAAATGAACACTGGCTTGGCGACGCGCCCCTACATAATATAGCAAAACAAATCTCTGAATGTTCTGGCCCAAGCGGTCACAACGTTGAATACCTTTTACGGTTAGCATGAATGTCGCATTACGTTTAATCATTTTACTCGAGCTAGGGCTGGATTAAATATTGAGATGAATTGAACGAGGGGACTACCACGGTAGTTTTCCATTGCCAAGTTTATTGGACCATACTTTCTAAAATTAAAAATTCTCAGTCACAGTTCTAAAATTATAGCTCAGTTTCAATGATCTCAAAGTTTAAAAGCCCAAGGTTCAGAAAAAAGAATATGTCTTAAAAATCTTAATCCGGTTCTCCTGCCTGTATCTCCCGATAATATTTTCACTCGTTTCATGTTCTGTGCAGATTAGCTGAGTTTATGCACCGTTATCTACCAGAAGCGCATGACGAACATCTGTTCACGCTGGAATTGTTAGTGCGTTCGAGGATAAAAGAGCAAAATATGTGTCTCACGACGTTAATGGGTAACCGAGACTTTAATATCGACCTCGAGGATGCTGAAATCGATGTCAGGGATGACGAGGATGACGACTTGGTCGTTAACGGTGCTGCCAACAATCTCAGGGAAAATTCTTTCCAATTTATCTCACAAGTACCTGAAAAATCCTTGCGTTGTCTGAAAATGTAGCCTGTAATTAATATTGTTTTTATATTAGATGTATAAATTCAGAAAAAGAGACGAACGTTTGTAATTCGTGGCGAGAACACGAGAAAAACTAATAATTATCAATGTGTTAATGTGCGAATGTACCGTCCCAGAATAGCGATGTTAATAACGGAAGTCTTTGTTCTCATACATTTTGGCGGCGGTACGAATGTATTTTAAGGACTGTACAAGTGATATTTCGGCAGCTTCGTGTTACGTATGTTTACGTTTGACTGTGGCGCTAACAACTACGGCTAAATTCTTCTTAGCCAAAGTGCCTTAACAATAATTTTTAGAATCTTCAGTGCTCGTTCCTATAATTTCAATTGTAAGTTAATGTAGAACAATTTTATACTTTCACGTGCGAGATGTGTGCTTTTGTGAAAACAGACTGGTTGAAATGTATTAATTTGTATGTGAGATTAAAAGAATTGTTTTTAAAAATGGAGTGTTCATTTTACATATAAGTATTATCCAATATCTGTAAGATTAAATGAATTGATTTCTTAATTTTTGGACACTTGAAACATAAAAGCTAATTATAGATAAAACTATAAAAATAGAAATATCTAGTATCTATAACATTGAATTCTTCGTTTCTTAATTTTTGAACACTTGAATGAAGATTGAAGACAATACAGGTAGAGCCATCTAGTGGTGAACGCCGTAATTAACGAAACACAAAATTACGGTTCTCAGCAAAATTATAAATTTTTTCGCAGTGTTCACGCTTGCAAATTGTTCCGTAGCCTCAATAATACTAGAAAAACAACTTTTGATTAACCTGTAAGCGTTAGAAACGAAAATGAAAAAAAGTAGCATTTCATGGACCTAAAAAAGTCTAGCCATCTAGCGGTGAAAGGTGGGAACTAATGGAACTAAATTTTCCTTAGATCGATAATGAAATTTTGCATTTACCGACGTTACTAATTTACCGACATCGTTAAAACGCTTAAAAATTAATTAGTCATGTATTTCTGAGCGTATTATGGTCATTTCAGTAAAAAAAGTCGATATTTAATACATAAGTATGAAATCGATGGGGCAATTCGGAAAAGTACTACTAGCGCCATCTAGCGGTAGGAATCAGGAACTAATTTTCAAGTAACAGGAGCGCAGAAAAGTAAAAGAGGTATGCGGAGTAAGAGGTAGCTCCCGCGCAAACCAGTGCGCATGCGCGGTGACAGGTGTACCGCGCAGCCACGCGCATGCGCAGTAGCGGCGTCACCTTGCATATGCAATAATTATATATGCAAAAATCATTAATTACTCATTTTCTGAGCACAATTTATGAACTTTTATGATTAAAGAATGTTATGTGGTCCTTTAGCTGCTTTCTCATATACTATTTGTTCAGATTTGTGTCGAGAGTAATGAGTTATTAATGGTTTTTGTGTCACATGTCGGCACGGTGCGCGGTATACATGCGCTAATTAAAATCGTTAATTACGCGTTTCCTAGGTATAATTTATGTACTTTTATGATTGAAGAATGAAGAGTGATCCCGTAGCTACTTTCTCATATCATATTTGTTCAGATTATTGCTTCCAGTAATTAGTTATTAATTAATTTTCAAGCGGATGTCGGCACGTCATATGAGCTAGCACGGAATAATTAATTACGCGTTTTCTAATTACATTTTATGCAGTTTTATGATTGGAGAATGGTCAATATGTGCATAGCTAATTTCTCACGTCATATTTGTTCAGATTTTTATCGTAGTTAATTACTTATTAATACTCACTGCGATTGAAATTGTAGTACACTAAATACGTGAATAATCCGAACAAATATGGTATAGGAAATTAGCTAAGGACTCACTGATCATTATTCAATCATAAAAGTTCATAGAATGTCTTTACAAAGTGAGTAATTAATTTTTCTTAATTAGCTGTCGTGTACCAAATAACGCGGCCGACTTGCAATTGAAAATTCATTAATAACTAATTACACGGAACAATAATGTCGACAAATATGATATAGGAAAGTTGCTAAGAGACCACTCTTTATTCTTTAATCATAAAAGTGCATAAATTATGCTCAGGAAATGTGTAATTAATAATTTTAATTAGCGCATGTATACCGTATGATGCGCCGACTTGCGGTACAAAATTCATTAATAACTAATTACTGCGACCACGAATCTGAACAAATAGTATACGAGAAAGTAGTTAAAGTATCACAGTACATTCTTTAATCGTAAAAGTTCATAAATTGTGCCCAGAAAATGAGTAATTAACAATTTTTGCATATATAATTATTGCATATACAAGGTGACGCCGCTACTGCGCATGCGTGTGGCTGCGCGGTACACCTGTTACCGCGCATGCGCACTGGTTTGCGCGGGAGCTACCTCTTACTCCGCATACCTCTTTTACTATTCTGCGCTCCTGTTACTTGAAAATTAGTTCCTGATTCCTACCGCTAGATGGCGCTAGTAGTACTTTTCCGAATTGCCCCATCGATTTCATACTTATGTATTGAATATCGACTTTTTTTACTGAAATGACCATAATATGCTTAGAAATACATGACTAATTAATTTTTAAGCGTTTTAATGATATTGGTAAATTACAAATATCGATAAATGCAAAATTTGTATTAAAGGTATAATGGAAATTTAGTTCCATTAGTTCCCACCTTTCACCGCTAGATGGCTAGACTTTTTTAGGTCCATGAAATGCTACTTTTTTTCATTTTCCTTTCTAATGCTTCCAGCTTAATAAAAAGTTGTTTTCCTATTATAATTGAGGTTACAGAACAATTTGCAAGCGTGAAAACTGCGAAAAAATTTATAATTTTGTTAAAAATCGTAATTTTGTGTTTCTTTAATTTCGTCGTTCACCGCTAAATGGCACTAGGTGTATCTTTTTTAGAACACGCGCTATATATTTGAAATATTGCAATTATTTCAGATTTATTATGACTATAACTTATGATTTATGATGCGTGTTATGTTCCTAGTTCATTAATTAGAAACTTGAACAACTTACCGTTGTTGTAGGCTTCTTTTTCTGCGTTTATGCAAATATTTACAGCAAAATAAATAAACCTGAAAATAAATAAACGCAACGTGTAGGTTTAATAAAGACTCCCAGTTCTCGTGGTGAACGTTTTATTCAATTACAATAATAATCGCCGTTGTCGCTGTAAACGATGATGAATAATAATAACAGTCGTGATTCGTAATAATCTATAATTATGATAACCGATAAAATAGAATAACAACTGCGATGATAATAGTTAACGCTTTACAGTTTTCATTGGTGATTACAATGATCTCGATAACAATAATGAACAGCAACACTCGAACGGACAATCAAAGCGTTTGCGATTTAACAATAATTAAATAATACGATCGCGAGAAACGATGGGTTTTCTTTATACATATGATTTATGCGTATTAATGTGTATGTATATACAGGGTGTAAAGAAAATAAGTTATTTAATTTTGACATTTTGCTTTCGCAGAACTTCCACTATTCATAAACCTTTTTTCCCAACTGGTAACAAATTCATACAGTAAGCCACCACATCTGCACCTTCTCACTCATGCGTTACATTTACAAGCTTTTAGATTTCACTATAAACAAAACAATATAGAATATCTTACAACGTATAACAATTACACTACTCATAGTTTCACAAATACATATTTAACGCAGTATTTCCCTTCCGGAAAGTTTTACATACTCCAAACTTGTTACAATGATTTATAACATGAGGCGCACCTTTACAAACCACAGATGTTCACAATCTAGTTATAATCTCTACGTTTACCAATATCAAACTTCTAACGTTAGTCAAACAGAAATGAAATAAGATACAAAACTTTGAGCAGAGAAATTTTACAACTTACTTAACCTAACCTAATCAATCTTATATTAACAAAATTCATAGCAAGTTTAACATTTCTGAGAGAGTATCATATAGATATAAATTGAGAGGGCACAAACGCTGACCCACTGTACATCAACATAAACAGCTGTTAAATACAAGACTATCTCTGTGAATTTCCTTCACACCCTATACGTGTTCCGCTTCGTTCGTGTACATGTTTTCGTGTAACAATTTCATCGGTGCTTCGTTCCACGACGGTGAACGTATTAATCGACGCGCTAATTAACGACGCGTCTATTCTCCCAAACCATTTTCGTGTATTCGTGTCTCTAAGGTGTACGAAATCGACTGCAAAAAGGACGACCTATGAAATGCGTATGAACGGGCATGTTGCTTATGTACAGAGTGTTCTTTTGAAACGTTACGAGTACAGTTACGCCTTGCTTTACAATTAGCGCTCGAATTGATTTCACGTCACGCTTCGACGATCCTCGTCTCGCGAATCTTCTCCGATTACGAGGCTATAAAATACAGAGAACCAAAAACGCTCAACGAAAACCAACTCAGAAAGCAACTCTTACAAAATTGTAACGCAGGAAGTGTTAATCATTTACAGACTCGTAATCTTTCCATTAAGTTTCTACTGATTTGAAAGGAAGCCTCTGTCCTTTTAGATTCGCAAAGATCGACGCGCGTCACACCCACGGTCGATCGAGAGAAAAAGCAATGTGAACGTGCGAAAGCTGAACAGGTTATAGTCCGTGTCCGTTGGCTCTTTCTCTCCTTATCTCTCGTTGACAAAATAAATCTTTGCTAGATTAATCTGTCGCGGTGACTTTTGAAACAGTGTCCGGTTTCTTTCTACTTCAGACACCTACTAACTTTGCGCTTTAGGCTTCCTTTGGGCAAATTGAGAAGAAAGAACCTTTTTGCCATATTTATCTTTACTTTAGGATCTCCCTGGCTCTCCCTGTCTCTCCCTGGATCTCCCTGGTCTCCCACAAACACTAACAGGTTCTTTCTCCCAAATTCACCCCTGTCGCAATGTAACATACCATTTAAAACAAATTATAAGCCTACAATTACAGTTTGTGCCTGTTATACATAATCGCTGACTTTGATCTCAAAGGAAGCCTAAACGCACGAATCTATTCTCTCTAGTTCGAATTACATCTACGGTCTATCGCGACTGGTTGGTTTCCCTTTCTTGACAATCAGTTATCGATTTCAGATTCAATATTTCGTGTGTGAGACATCGGTCTCTGTCAAATTTGACTTACAATCTGTATTCGCAGTTTTTCGGAAATGGAACTGAAACAAGTTTCCTTACAATCGAGCCTCGACGCTTTCGATGAATTCAAAATCGATTTTTACGATGCCACTTGTTGCAAGGGATGATTACATGCTCGAGGGGAAAGAGACTTTTAATTTAAGCGATTGGCACCGGGGTTAAATTTGGAAATTGCGAACATCGTGTGGGAGAAATTTTTATGTAATTCTCTTGTTCCACGCTGACAATTACAATGAAATTTTTCATATAAATAACCACCACCATTTTCCATTCATAGCCTAATTTTCTCCCTGTTTACTTTGTTCATGAACCAGTATTCAGTGGAAATTGAAAGCAGCGTAATTAAGCAACGTTACGGTCACGGTTTCCACAGAAAAAACGGTAGAACCAGTTTTTGCCGCTTTCCCGCTTTGCATAATCAGAAAGAGTCGAATCGATTGAAAATAAAGTTCCCGCACGATGCAATTATTGAAATAAGTTTAAACATTTTCTCTTTCCCCTCGTTCCTGTTTAAAGCTGCAAAAGGCATTGTCGGATATGTGGGCTGAGATCTTTAAATCGCTGCTGCGTAATCGTTTTACAAAAATATCATCTGCTTTCGCGTCCCAGTTTTTCGGAGTTTCCTTTTTCTCTAGTCCGTTTCTGGAACGATGTGAATGGTTTTTAGAAAAGGTCGCTTTGAAAACACAGGAAGAGACACTAGCACGTTTTTTCTTTTTAAGTAGAAAGCATCTATTGTTTTGTCCTCGGTTCATTTTAAAATTTGTGCAATCGTCTTGCATCAGCAACGATTCTGTTTTTTATTTTCTATTACTTCCTCTTTCTGTTTGTTTGGCACGTTTATCAGGGTCCAGGTTGCTGTTCGAGAACATGGCACACCGATGATTACGATTTTCAAAATAGAAATTAATTCGTACCGAATGAGTTATGTCGGTCGTTCGAAATAGCCATTCTTAGATTACAATCGTGTGGAAAGTCTCGTCGTTCGGTATTGAAATATTCTCGAGTTTGATTACATTTTAATAAGTTAGATAGCGTCCTATGTACAAATATCCGAGTGCCAGAATTCTCAAAACTGAGATTCCAAATCCTATCTTCTCGATCGGCCACCGGTGTTATCTAACAGTAATTCTTCGACCGATCCTTCGAAACTCGATCAATAGCTACGTCAAAAATATTTATCGAACTCTATTCTTCGCGCACTGGCGAAGCTCGAGTCCGATTAGTAGTTTGCAATTCCACTACGATAGTCGATAATATTATATAATATATGTGTGTGTGTATATAATATACTTTGTTAAGCCTCAACAATTCCCGTAATAAGTCTATGTTAATCGCTGTGGTTCGTTCAGGACTTTCGTCGACTCTATCGATGTTTCTCGATGAAGCTGCGTGGAAAAATAGATGCTTTTTCTTTTTTTTCTCAGCTGATTACTCTGTCGTTTGTTACATTTTGATATTGACATTTTTTTACGACATTCACCTTTGTTCTAACGACACTATTCGTCTAGTTGTACATTTAACCTTCCTTCTTACGAATTAAGTGGATGACGTGGCAGTTCGTGTTTTACGATTCGTTGAAAGAACGTTCGATTAAACCGTGGAATCTGAAAAACAAGCTCCTCCGCAAAAATCTGAAAGCGCGAGAGCTGCATCCGTGGACCGATCGGAACTACCTACGTCATGGTGATGCCATTAAACGACCCGCCAAAAAAGTGGATCAACGAAAGTCCTGATCGACGTAGCCAGGATCGCCGATAACGCATTAGTCAACAGTGTTCGCGTCTCGCAAGATGGCGTGGCCCATGTGCTCGAGTGTCTCTTCGAGGAGTTCATGGGTATCCACAAAACAAAAACAAAGTGTCATCCGATGATCCCAAAATGGCACCCACGTCTTCTCCGAAGAAGTCCGAGTATTTAGTACACGAAACAATCCCTAGTTTGGCACAACTTCCTGTCACACTACAAGTGTCTCTCCTTAACAATTTCTTTTCCCTCGTGTCAACTCTTCGGCAACGAGGACTTCGTTGCAGCGTTTCACGTTATCAATGTTTCTTTTTGGATTTTTCTTGATAGTTCCCACCACCAAGGCCAGGTTCGTTCAGCACCTGACGAAGAGCTCGACCGAGTCGGCGATGTTAATGCCGACGGTACTCCAAGCGAGTCAGAGGTCGAGCTCTGGTCATTTTGGGCTACGGTGGCTCCGGCTCGGAGGTGGGAGATTCCTGCTACGCTTCCAGGAAAATCAGAGCCGTCGGTTTCGGCTCGAGGTTGCTCTTCTTCGCTTCGACCACCAGGAACTCGATCTCGTTGCGATCGCGTCTCGCGAACGATTCCGCGATCAGTCTCGCCACCTCCTGATGATGCAGTCCTGCAAAACGAGAAACTGTTTTAGAAGCAGTCGGGACAGGTAGAAAGCATCTGTGCAAAGACTACGAAAGCGAAAACTACTTAACGTTGAAATGAATTTATAATTGCAGATGGAGGATTTCTCCTCGCTGACGATAACTTTCATCGCGTTTCTAGTAATGATAAGGTAGCCTACTTTAATTTTAACTTGCGATTACCTTCGACTTTGTGACCATCAACTTCTAGAATCAATTGACCAACCTCGAGGCCACCGGCTTCGTAAGCAGCTCCGTTATCCTGTGAACACATATTAACATCTTTCACAATAGTATAAAGAAACTTATCGAGTTTGTAAACAATCTAGTATGAAAGGTTTTAACATCAGACTCACGTGAATATTGATAATCCTGGGCAGTGGATGTTTGGTGTTGGCACCGCCCTCGATGGCAATGCCCAAAATCGACTTGGTCTTCTTGACGGTGATCCTCAGGTTGCCTTGATGGTCGGGCACCACCAGGGCGCCGTCCTCTTCCCTTCTCTCGGACATCTCGCTCCTCGCCAATCGTTGGGCGCTGTGGTGTCGTCGTGGAGGTCCCCCGGCACCCGCGGTTCCGGGCCCGCCACCGGAACCACCCTCCTCCAGCAGCTGCGCCTCCTGCATGTCGAAGCTCCGCGAGAGCTTGTGCGCGAGTTCCTGAAACGGGCAGAGCTACGTTTTATCGACGAAAGTCTAGCATCCGATTTCCGGTCGACCTTGCGGCTTCGCGACGGCAATCGAGTCGATTAACTGGCTTTACGCTTGCTTTTAGATTGGAAATACGAGGGTGACATCAATTCTCGGCCTTGATGAATGTTAAACCTTGATATGCAATAGTGTGTCACATTCATGGTGCAATTGTGATGCACTGGGGACGCAATCATGACGCATTCGTGGTACAATGAAGATGCATTCGGGACGCAATCATGACGCACTCAAGGTACAATAATGACGCACTCATGGAACAACAATGACGCACTGAGGATGCAGTTAGGACGCACTCAAGACGCACTCAAGATACAACAATGACGCACTGAGGATGCAGTTAGGACGCACTCAAGACGCACTCATAGTATAATCAGGACGCACTCAAGACACTCAGGACGCAATCATGACGCACTCAAGACACTCAGGCAGCAATCAAGACGCACTCAGGACGCAATCATGACGCACTCAAGATACAATAATGACGCACTCATGGTACTACAATGACGCACTCAGGATGCAGTTAGGACGCAATCATAACGCACTCATGGTACAATCAAGACGCACTCAGGACGCAATCATGACGCATTCAAGACGCACTCAGTACAATCATGACGCACTCAGGACGTACTCAGGACGCAATCATGACGCACGCAAGACGCATTCAGGATGCAGTTAGGACGCAATCATAACGCAGTAATGGCGCAATCCTTGACGCACTCATGACACATTCATGACACACTCGTGACGCACTCATGACAGATTTATGACACACTCATGACGCCCTCAAGACGCACTCATACGCAATTATGGTACAATTATGACGCACTAATAGTACAATCGTTGACGCACTCGTGACGCACTCATGACACATTCATGACACACTCATGACACACTCATGACGCACTCGTACGCAATTATGGTACAATCATGACGCACTAACAGTACAATCGTTGACGCACTCGTGACACACTTATGACGCATTCATGGCACAATCATGACGCAGTCATGACGCACATGTAACGGCAGGTTGTATGTGACAAACCAAAGTCGTATTTTCACTGCAGTAGAATATTGAACTGAATTCTGACTAAAATCTATGTAATCAAGAATTGCTGAAGGCAAAATTCAACATTATAACTTTCGCTGTTTTAACTTTATAGCAATAATTAGCTAATTGCGAATGATTGTCTAATTGTAAATTAAGGTTTAACATTACAAAGATATCTTAATTTATCTTCCAGTCTTCCTGCAGAGTCAGATTTTCGTGCAAAATTTGAAAATGGAGCGATGGAGAATACTCGATTGCTGTCACGTAGTCAAAGTCAGCCCGAGCACGCACGACGACAGCACACAAGAGCTAAAGGAGGCTGATGCTGACGAGTTTCTGTGCACGCTGTAGTCGAAGGGAGTCCTGGTAGTCTGTAAAGTTGGTTACTTAGATTACTCTCAACGAACAAACTCGGCTTCGAATGGCATCGGTGATCTGAAACTCCAGGAAATTGGTCGGAGCGCAACAAATATCGTCTTCAACAAATAACAAATTAACAACGTTTGTCTTAATACTCGCAAGTTCGATTAAATTAAGGGCCAGTTAAATTAGATTATCTTCACTTTGAAATTACGTCTTCTGGGTTGAAAAAGTTCTGGATTTGAAATTCATCAGAATAAATTTACTATGAATTGCCAGAGGTTCGATCAGCGATGCCACTCGAGTATACTCGAAAATTTCTGATCGAAGGTCGCTCAGGATCCTCAGGTTCCCGTCCTTTGCACTGGCCAACTTGCCTACCGGGCTTCGCTTCTCCACAACGGTGCACATCCCTTCCGGTACCTATATGCAATCGTACATGACATCGTGTTGAGACGTAAGTGACGATATAAATACATATCGATATAGGTATCACAAGAGTATAGTAAAAAATTAAGTCATGCTTGCTGATAGGCTGGTAGCAGTTGGGTGTTGGTGGTGCTCGAACAGAGTGGTGGTGGTGGTGGTGGTGTGGTAGTGGTAGTGGTGTCTGTCGCGTTATTAATATCAGAAAAACCACTCGTGTATGATATGGACAATGATCGTGAACTTTCAATGGGTCCGATCGGACCCGAGAAGCTAGGGAAACGCGATCACGGTGAAAGTTCCTCGCCCTGGGATTTCTCTTCCCCGAACAAAAGCTAATCGCGCATTGTCCGAATCTTAAAATAAACAGATAATCACCGTAACTGGAACGTGTCACGTTATCGACACATCGCTTTTAAAGTTCACCATCTGAGATTTTCCATTACCCCTCCCAGCGAATTTCCTGCGGTGAAAACTTCTGTCTACACTTTCTCTGCTGATTTACCGTCCTCGATTGCGTCCCATTACCGATCAAGACTTTCTTCCTACAAACTTCCTACTCCTCCTAGGTCTATCGTGTCATTCCACGTCGGTGGGCATCAGAATCGGAAACAATTTTTGTTAACGAAGTTAAGTAGTCTTTCAAAATTTTAGTCTTCAAGAGAAGTGGTTGAATATTTTTTACTCCAATTGCAGATGTTAATTTCTTACTGGGAGCAATTTATATCAACCAAGTCAAGAATGAATTGGTTTTTGAGAATTTTAGGAGTCCATAAGAGAAGTGTTTGAGTATTTTGCACTTCAATTGCAGAAGATGTTAATTTCTTACTGAGAGTAATTTATATCAACCAAGTCAAGAATGAATTGGTTTTTGAGAATTTTAGGAGTCCATAAGAAAAGTGTTTGTTTGAATATTTTGCACTCCAATTGAAGAAGATGTTAATTTCTTACTGAGAACAATTTATATCAACCAAGTCAAGAATGAATTGGTTTTTGAGAATTTTAGGAGTCCATAAGAGAAGTGTTTGAATATTTTTGCACTCCAATTGCAGAAGATGTTAATTTCTTACTGAGAGCAATTTATATCAACCAAGTCAAGAATGAATTGGTTTTTGAGAATTTTAGGAGTCCATAAGAGAAGTGTTTGAGTATTTTCCGACGCCCATCCGAGTGGAAGATGGCACAGCTAATCCAAAAGAAAGAAGCGACCGAACAAAAAATACGAAAGAAGGAAACGAAAAGTAGGCAAACTCTAACTCCCTGTCTTCGGGTAAGTGGCTAATCAGGGTATGATGATGGAATTCTAAGCTAGTGACTCTCGATCTAATCTACCGTTCCCCTTACCGAATCGGTTTTGTGAGTAAAGTGATCGTGCATGCCAACAAGACATCTATGTAAAATACACTCTGATAAGTAGATGCTCGAACGCGTGCACGCGTGATCGTGTAGACATGCGTACACGATGACACGGTCACGGTGTAATTACAATATTCGTGCGTTGAATAAAAATAATAATGATAATTTAAGGAGAAAAATTCGAAGGTAGCATGTGCAAGACATCTAAGGAAAAAAAGTACACGTACACACCTAACGCTATTTCGTACTAACAGTTCGCTAAATCTCTAAGAGCAGAACAGGAGAATTGATCTTGGTGACAGAGACAGAAAGAGACAACTAAAGAGATAAATAAATAGAGAGGTTGATATAACTGGGACATGCCAAATGACTCCGAACGTTCGAAAATTTTCTTGGCTTTCAGCCGCGAGAATATTTTTTAACATTCTGAACTTTCACTCCGGAAACGATTTCCTCGGAAAAATCTTTCGGGTCGAATGTGTATGCTCGAGGAAACTTTTAAGCTTCCCGAGAGTTTGTCAAAAGTTTCTTCGTGTGTTTGCCGTCTTCGAAACGCTTGTCAATCGAGGCAACACTTTTTGTTACAGATTTTACTGCTTTTCCGATTCCTCGCGATTTTGCAAATCTGTTTTCCGGTAAAACGGAACAAAAATGAGTCGAACATTATCTCGTTAAATCTCCTTGAATAGCGGAGGACTAGGGCTGTTTATCCAGACTGAAATTACCTTATTAACCCCTTGCACTATTTAGGTGCGCCACTGATCACTATCGTATTAAAATGAACGAAGAAGATTGAAGATTTTATGTCAATTGTAGAATTGATCGTGACTGAAGTATGAGTGCGTCACGACTTTAGTGAGTGCGTCACGATCGTCACGAGTATGTCAGACTTGTCACTAATGCGTCAAGAGTGTGTCACGATCCTCGCGAGTTTTTTTAAATGCGTCACGAGTGCGTCACGATTGTAACAAGTGCGTCACGATCCACACGAGTGCGTCACGATCTTTAAGAGTGTCTTAGACTTGTCATGACTGCGTCACGAGTATGTCAGACTTGTCACTAATGCGTCAAGAGTGCGTCACGATCCTCACGAGTGCGTCACGATTGTAACAAGTGCGTCACGATCCACACGAGTGCGTCACGACCCTTAAGAGTGTCTTAGACTTATCACGAGTGCGTCACGATTGTAACAAGTGCGTCACGATCCACACGAGTGCGTCACGATCTTTAAGAGTGTCTTAGACTTGTCATGACTGCGTCACGAGTATGTCAGACTTGTCACTAATGCGTCAAGAGTGCGTCACGATCCTCATAAGTTTGTTAAATGCGTCACGAGTGCGTCACGATTGTAGCAAGTGCGTCACGATTCACACGAGTGCGTCACGATCCTTACGAGTGTCTTAGACTTGTCATGAGTGCGTCACGATTGTCATGAATATGTCAGACTTGTCACTAATGCGTCAAGAGTGCGTCACGATTGTAACAAGTGCGTCACGATTGTAACAAGTGCGTCACGATCCTTACAAGTGTCTTAGACTCGTCATGAGTGCGTCACGAGTGCGTCACGAGTATGTCAGATTGATCCAAGTGTGTCACCAGTGCGTCACGATCGTCACGAATGTCAGATTGGTCCGAGTGTGTCACGAGTGCGTCATGAGTGCGTCAGAAATGTAGCAAGAGTGCGTCATGAGTGCGTCATGAATGTGTCATGGGTGCGTCATGAGTGTGTTATGAGTGTGTCATGGGTGCGTCACGATCCTTACAAGTGTCTTAGACTTATCACGAGTGCGTCATGAGTGCGTCACCATACTCTTGACTGTGTCAGACTCATCACGTGTGCGTCACGATCGTCACAAATGCGTCATGAATGCATCAAAGATGTATCAAGAGTGCGTCAACAGTGCGTCACAGCGTGATCTCCAGTGTGTCACGAGTGCGTCATGAGTATGTCCTAGGTGCGTCACGACTGTAACGACTGCGTCAAATCCGTGAAAATAGTGCAAGGGGTTAATTTCGAGATTAGCAAGAATTTCCAGACACGTGATCCCTTTGCACTCGAAGGATAACTCACCATTTAACGCATTCTGTAATTAACATTTTGTAAATGCCAAGTAACAGAGCACAGTAACAAAAGAAAGATAACTTGAAAAGAGTATAAGTCGAAGGAAAAAGTTCCAAGCGAAGTTTCCAAAGAAGAAAAATTCGAGTGCAAAGGGCTAATCCCGAAAGTCCGACAGCTCCATTAAAAGAAAGATGAAAACAGGAGGAACAAAAGGGTAAAAGAAACAGTAGAAAGTCTTGTGCTTGGTAGATATCTGTGTGTTGTGGTTTCGTTTTGATAGAAAACTTACGAGGGGCCTGGCGCCCCAGTACCAGGATTTGACACGTTGCGTTAGCCCACCGAGCAGGTGAGACCTCCAACCACCGAAACCTCCACCACCTCCACCCTCTGAGCTCCTTTCCTCCCTTCCTTCGTCCTCATCCTCCTCCATATCGCGATCCCTTTCCGTTCCTCCTCCTCGTCTCCCATTACCGATCATCTCGGCGTCGCTACCATCGCAACCACCGTCGCTTTCCTGCGTCGCGACGCCGGGAGAAAAACATCGAAAAACCTCGTGTTAGCCCCGTTTACAGCGTGTTATATTAGGGGGTACATTCGACCCATAGGACCTAATTGGGGTCCTGCTTTTTACGTCAACTTCCTTCGTTTCTTCGTTTACCCTTCGAGGGATGGGTTTAAGTATGGTTTTAGGAAGAGGTTTAGGAGATAATTTCTAGATCCGATACTTTGATAGGGCGATAGAGAGTCACTCTCAGCTTACTCTCAAGCTAAAGAGGATTTTAGAGGGAAATATTTCTAATAACATGCATCGGATACTGTCAAAATAATAAATTCTACGTTTGTCTGAGGTGACGGAGCTTAAAAATTACATATGGTAAGAAAATGGAGCTGACCTTACTGTGCTACGTTATCTAAACTACCATTGATAAATAGCCTAGACTATTGATAGTCTATTGTAATATTTAAGCTTTCATGACCACGTAATTGCTCTCGTTAAAATATTTCACTAATATATGACCCGATACATAAGTGACCCAGATTGTGAGATGGGTCGGTTTCTTCATCATGTACCGAAAGAATATGCGAATTCGACGAATGTTATTTGGAAAAGTAGTTGAAGAACATCGTCTTTGTCTCTTACGGTGATTTGAGACATGAAAGGAGCGGAAACACCCTGTATGTGAACATAACGGAACGACACCGGTGAAAACTTTCTTCGACGTTGACCTATTATCGGACCGCCATCATTATCACCGTTTCGCACGCTCGGTTAAGGTTAGTGGGTAACCGCGACTGAATTACGAGCCGGGTGTCCAAAGAACCAGGTGCGTTTTTCAGAGTGGAACGGTTCCTCGGGACATTTCTCCGAAAATATTGGTATAATTTTCCTGGGATTTAGTAAATAAAAATTATGGGAACAGAACTTGCAGCGAACGCTTCTTCAAGTTTTATCTAATCTGGTAACACGCTGGCTACAAGGAATACGAACGAGTAAATATCGATACGTTATCAGTGGCGTAAGGGATTATCGACTAATAAAACAGGCGTTAACCCGATAAAGTAATATTCGATCGAAAACGATTTTCGAAGGCCATTGCGGATTAAATCTTTCGCTATGATTTTTTTCGTTCGCAAACGTCCAGTAAAATTATCCTAATATAAAATATTAAGATTAATCATAAAGATATTAGGATATCCACCTATCGATTCCATGAACGACTACCTGATTACCTAGCGAGTAGGTGTCACGAACTGCTTTCGAATTCTTACGTAACGCCGGTTCAATGGACCTTGTATTCGAACAAAAGTTACTAATTCGAACGCGGAAATAATAATTAACAGTGGTAGAACGTTGAACCTTTAAGTGCGAAGTGTCTCGAAAGGTCAGGCCTTAAAATATTTATCGCAATCATCGTTACAAAATATTTATTGCGTATGCCACTGGTAGAGAAATAATTATGTAAAATTACCATTGCGTAAACATTGCGTAACGAATACGAGATTTCTGCTAGATTACTCTTCAGAGATATACACTTACTCGTAGTAAATTTATTTGAGTTTCGTTATCAATCATTAATGGCAGGATTACACTAAATGACGCACATGGTGCGTCACTCATACCATGATTATTCTAAAGGACACACATGGTGCGTCATTGACTGCACTAGTTCTATAGGACGCACAAGGTGCATCACTGATTTCATGATTATTCTAAAGGACACACACGGTGCGTCATTGACTGCACTAGTTCTATAGGACGCACAAGGTGCGTCACTAATTTCATGATTATTCTAAATGACGCACACGGTGCGTCATTGACTGTACTATTGTTCTATAAGACGCACACGATGCGTCACTGATTTCATGATTATTCTAAAGGACACACACGGTGCGTCATTGACTGCACGGTTGTTCTATAAGACGCACACGATGCGTCATTGACTGTACGATTATTCTATAAGACGCACATGGTGCGTCATGGATTATATGATCTCAGTACAAGACGCACCTGATGCGTCATCGACAGAACGATTATTTTAGAGGACGCACCTGATGCGTCATTGACTGTACGATTATTCTATAAGACGCACATAGTGCGTCATGGATTATACAATTATAGTATAAGACACACATGGTGCGTCATGGATTATATGATCACAGTACAAGACACACATGGTGCGTCATGAATTATATGATCACAGTACAAGACACACATGGTGCGTCATTTAATAGAACAATTGTACGAGACGCACATGATGCGTCATCGACAGAACGATTATTTTAGAGGACGCACCTGATGCGTCATTGACTGTACGATTATTTTATAAGACGCACATAGTGCGTCATGGATTATAAAATTATAGTATAAGACACACATGGTGTGTCATGAATTATATGATCACAGTACAAGACACACATGGTGCGTCATACATAGAACAATTGTACGAGACGCACCTGATGCGTCATCGAAAGAACGATTATTCTAAAGGACGCATTTGATGCGTCATTGACAGAACGATCATTTTATAAGACGCATAAGGTGCGTCATGACTTATATGCTTATAGTGCAAGACGCACATGGTGCGTCTCCGACACATATGGTCATTAGAAGATCAGAGTACAGGACGCACTTAGTGCGTCGTACAAAAGGTAGAGATCGGAAGGATGATCCCCGGATCGAACCGGTTCGTAGATAAGAGATAACCGATCCGGCTTGGCGAGCAGATCGATCGAGAAACGAGCCCGTTCCAATTTTCTTGTCGGCCAAGAACGCTTCGGCTCGCTTCCAGTTTTTCTCGCCGCGAACATGCTGACAATCACCAGCCGACGTAATAAATTCTTCGCCACTTAAGTCATAAACGCGAGCCGAAGATGTTCTTCTTCGAGCGTCTTCGCCTTAAACCGCCAGAATTATCGAGCTACGAATTAAAAATATTCCGACGAATTTCCATACAAATGGCACACGGAGAAAAACCGTGAACGGGCCAATTAACGGAATATCCGATTAACGTCGAGCTTCCCAGAAGGATCGGCTGAAAAAGAGTACCGTTCGTCAGCTTCGTTCAGGCAATTCTAATCGGCGAGGGATTCGCACGGAGGAAAGCTGCCAACCAGGAAGCGAGATTCTGCCAGTTTCTCTCGATGGGAATCTTTCTTCTACCTTTTACAATCATTACTCGCGAAAAATTTCTATGTAAGTGACGGACAAAGTTTCTATTTCTAAGATTTAGTCGTTGACTGTGTAATTACTATAGCGCTACGCTATCACTCTGTACTAACAGATACTACGAAGGTAACTTAGCACCCAGAGTTGGAGAGCTAGATCTGAGGAAACCTAGAAATCTGTCTACAGGAGATTACTCATCGGCGTTCATTACTGAAACGATCTGGAAGTCCTTCATCTTGACGGAGACTGTTTTCCATAATCTCATCATTGTCCAAACCCTTTGACTCGACCATTGTATCATCCCTTTTGTTCGTTATCATCCTGCAAGTCGGTTCTCCGGTTCGTAACCCGCATTCGAGGATAGCCAGACAACCTGGCAACGTTGTAAAACCCATTCTTCCACCTTCCCCTCTCACCTGTTACCTGTCCACTCGTTCCCTCCACACCTGTGACAGTCTCTCTCTCGCCGCAGCTACTCGAGAGCATCACTGTCCTTCTCTCACTTGTGGACGATCAGGTAAACGTAAACTCAGCCAGGTCTGGCGTACCGTCACTTCAAGCTCGGTTCTTGAATCAGTCGAGGCGACACCGTCGAGACGCGTGCCGCTTTGCTCTTTCGATCGCGAACGTTTGGACGCTTCATTCGCAAAATTGTCCTCAAGATACACCGAGATTGTGTTTAGTTCGCTGATACCAGGTGAGTCCTTTTGGATATCGAGGATAGATTGTTGTTTAGAATTTTATCAGATTACGAGGTCCTTGTTATAGAGTACTGTTAATAAGATTGTAGCTTTTGATATTTTTGAAGTTGGGCAAGAATTTTACCATTAGAGATAGAGTTTTCTAGAGCTTTACCATTAGAGATGGAGTTAAGAGATTATTCTCGATAAGACGATAGTTGATCATTCAATTGTTCAGGGTGTTAGAGGTTGAGTAGCTTGCGTACTTGATATTTAAAAAACTATCTTCCAGATTAGTTCTCAACAAGTTCGATAAGCAACATCTCGAATTTATCCCTAAATATAAGCTGACATATGCACTTATAATGTAACTTTCGAGGGTTAAGTTGAAACGTAGCTTACAGCTCACGTCCACCTGACCATAACAATCCCGAATTTACATCCGTAGTTCCCGAGGATCCACAGTGAGTCACCGTTCCAAATTTCAGTCCCAAAATGTGTCAAAGCACCAAATTCACTTCCAAGTTATACAGTAAATCGTACGAGTCTTTGTTTACGAGACAGCGACAATTAGTCTGTTTCTGTTCGATGTCGTCATCACATGTTCATCGAAGGATGCCCAATTAGCGTGACTAATAGACAGCCACTTAATATTCTTCCAATCCGTTGATCCGCTGATACGAGTTTCTTTCAACCATAAAAACAATCATACGATCGCTATCTCGCATGATTAATTCCAATTGTGCAATTTTCATTAAAAGTTTTTGTTAGTTGTTGGTAATTGAATTGAGAGATATTTGCTCGGGAGCGATGATCGAAGCAAAATTCTAATTAATTTGTAATTAAAAGATTTCGACATCTCCAACCATCGGCAAGGTTTTCGAAAGTGGAAGCTGCGAACTCGATCGAATTAAAAATCCCTGTGTCTTCTGGAGACGCGATCGAACTTCCGGGCTGCGCAGACGCCTCACCCGGAAGTCCCGGAGTCTCGATTAGCAAATTTCTACCCCTGTTCACTTTTCATCCGACTAAACCCGCGTCAATCTTTCGTACACCGAGATGTAGATCAAACATTGCCACATCGATCCGTGGTTCCATTTTTTATTCGCGTGCGGTTTCAGCGGAATATCCAAGGTAACGCGATCGCGAAAAACGTCGGAGAAACGCTGTGCAGCAAAAACGGATTGGCAACCGTTGCGAAATAGACAAAGTCTCTAAAACAAAGAGCAGCATAAATCCCGACAGCGGAATGAAACTCGAATTTTGTCAACGTACAGGACGTTTCAAAGGCGGAAAGCTTGCACAAGGTGATCGGGAAACTTTTACTTTCAGCGTTGACGCTATTGTGCAACCGACGCACAATGTGTACGACAGGCTGTATAAAAAGCACGTTGTGTAGAAAGTGTTCATTACGATTTACAATTTCCAAGCGTGCATTCGCGATCTTCTATCGAAACGCGATGATTCATGTTCCTTTCTCGTCGACACCTTTTCTCCTGTACTGACGTATTCCTAATAAAAAATCGCGGTGGTTTCGATGGTACTCGAGTTTCTCGTATTTCTCGTGCTTTGAAATTAACCCTTTGACTCATGACGCACACATGACGCACTTGTGACGCACTCATGACGCACATTACACGTCAAATGTAATACATCAAAATTATATTCGCAGCATAATGCAATCTCGACCAACTATAATTTCCATGAGGATCAAATAAAAAATGTAACATTTTAATTTTTCTTTTTGAAGTACCAAAAGAAATCATAAGTCAAGGGGTTAATTTACAAGCTCGTCTTTCCCTAAAACTTAACAGGGAACCTAGCCTAACTATTTGAGCGTTTGGATTTGCGAAAAGAATGGCAGAGTTATCGAAAAACCGCGTACACGTCGGAAACTGTCCGTTTGAAGCGAGGTTGCCTCCTCGACGTCTAACTGTTTATTCTATACGGTATCCGAGCACCGACTGTGGGAATCCATATTTTTAACCGGTTTGATCGTTTCCTATAGTCCCTCTAAAATGTTCCTTTCACCGCAGCTGCCACCGTGAAATTTCCAGCCGAATTACGGCGAGTTAAAGCGTTCGCCAATTTTCGTTCCGAGAAACGTGTCGCCGGAAAAGAAATTCGATTCGAAAATTTTCACCTACACGAGAAAGTTATTTACACGCGGTTGGGAAAAGAAAAGAGCGTAAGCGATACTATCCGCTGGATCTGGAACGAGACCAGATACGTATGCTAATGTTCTGGTTTACGTCTTTCGTAAAAACATTTTAATGCCTGCTAATAACGTTCGTATCTCGTAAACCGAGCTCGGAGTAATTTATATCTTGTAACTTTATCTGGGAATCTTGCGTTTAATTTGTTTTTAAAAAGGAACGATGAAAGAACTATGTACCCGCGGACAGGACGTGTTCGGTAGTGGTCGGAACGATTCGGCAATGTTCGGTAATTGGCGCGCGCCGCTTTTCGATCTGTTTGAATACAGATTTTTGCGAATAAAAATTTGATTTACTTGCGAAGGAAGTTCAAGTTTTCCGTCTTAAAGAGAAGGAAATCCTTGGTATTTTAATTATTAAGAAAAGAGGAGGAAATCCTTGGAATTTTAATTATTAATTTCTTCGGAAATTATTAGAAGAAAATTATTTCTTCGGAAATAAAGAATAATTTTCCACGCCCCTATCGATGTTATGAATACGTTTTATTTGCTAGATATGGAGTAGAATATTATGCGTTAAATGTAATATTCATTCCACATCTGCGTTTACGACTCGACGTCGTCGCAAGAGGCGCCGTTTCCGCCAAGAAATTCAGAAGCCAGAGCTTTCGACGCTCGATGCTATCGGCGTAATTCGAGTTCCTTGCTCCGACCGGACGTAAACAGGATCGTAAAATCCCGAAGGAGATCGAGTTCGAATTCGGTTAATTGCGTCTTTAAATGAAATTTCGTTGCGAGCAGGATTAAAATTCTCAACATTCGAACTCGGATAATTTTTGGCAAGAAATTTTCTCCGAAGTAAAAGTTCCGAAGTCGGGTAATTGAGATTCGCGTCAGGTACCCAGACCGGTGTCCCAGTGACATTCTTCTCGTCTCACGTACTTGCGTGACCCATTGCCCTCGACCGGCAATGACCGTCCCATTTACTTTTTACGCTCGAAAATTATGGCTCTCGAAATTCGAGGGTAAGATCGAAGATAAGGTAACCTTGACAGTATCTGTTCCGATCGTTTGTTTCAGCATCGAAATGGAATCCTGGTTGAGCGACGTGCAGCGAGTGAGAATTCCACGGCCGAAATTCGGCAGCGGTAATTGCGTGAGGCGATCCAATTCCACGGTACAACACGTGCGACCGGAAGTGCACTCGAGACAAAGCCAGGACGTGGCGAAAGCCACGGAAGAGCTGCGACAAGCCCTTCAAGAGAAACTTTGACCGGTCGGCCAGTGGTGATAGACGCCCACCGTAACCGAACCGAACGCATCGAGGATCTTCACTCTGGGATTCACTGTGGACGATTTAGTGTCCCTATTCCGCGATTCGATGATTTCGCAGAAGGACTGTAACGCTCGATAATCGAGCCTTTCTGCTGCGCAGATCCTCGTCACGACGTCTAACCCTTTTGCTGCGATTTCTACAACTTTGAAATTTATAGGATTCCTCGAATTTCGTATAATGTAGAAATTTGAAGGAAAAGATGAAGTCAAAATGATGAAGACCAAAGATCGCAGCAGAAGGGTTAAACGTCCGCGAAGTATTCGTAAACGGGAAAGAAGGATTGTTATCCCCCCGGCAGTTCAAGGATAAGTTCACGGCCTTCAAGAACGAGAGATAAATGTCCGTCGAAAAAGAAGCGATCGAGAAATAGAGACATTTCGCTGTGGGATCGAGCAATCGCGGTTGATCGATCGGTACCCCGATAATTAATTCAGCCGTGGAAACACCTTCGAGTCTGGTTTCCAGGATCTCTCTCGCGCGTGTACGAGTGATATACGCGGCACGATGAGCGTCGATCGAGCTGGCGTGATCGACGTCCATAAATCGAGCTCGTTCGAGATGGCAGCCGTGAGATCCCTTCAGCTTCCATCGTTGCAAGTTCAAGCGAATCGACTTTATTTATAACTAGTATTACTGCCATGTTCATGAATTTTTACGAAGGAAAAATTATCGAATAAGTGTGATATTAAAGAAATAAAATTCGGTAAAATTAATACACGGTGTTTTAGTTATCCGAATCGTAAAAAGAAATCTCCATATAAAATCCCATCCCAGTCTCTCGAAAGAAAGCACTCTCAGGTTAATTTCGTTCGGCGAAGAAGGTTCTTAAGAAGAGACAGGAAGTGTCGTCACAAAAGAGTACTCAAGGTGGAGGCGAAGGTAAACTATCGCTACTCACCAAATTGTCCGGATGAAGATGATGATGGCCGTAGTCTCTGGGATTGCCGCGGGAACCACCTGGCGAACTGTGTCTACGTCCGCGGCCGTTCTCCAGCTCGTCCTCGTAGTCCTGCAAAACAAATCAATTCCTCTTTTTTTCGTAATGTTCCTCGCTATTTCCGAGTCGAGTTATCGAGGGACAACGCTTCGTTTAGCGAACTTCGCCGTCATTCTTTGTACCTGGTTGTCACACTCGTCGTCGTTGGAGAGGGCGAGATCGGAGGTCGTCACTTGGTGCTGTTGCGCCCTCCTGCAGCCCACTCTGCAATTCCCAAAATTTTCACACTCTATTTCTACTTTTTACTTCCTTCGAATGCTCTCTTTGTCACGGTTCTTCCTTTCCTTTCTTTCCGAAAATCGAACCGATTTCTCGAATTTGAAAAAAATGAACACGGTGAATTAAATCTATTTCTCACCCAGTGAGGTTTGAAAGAAGAATGGAGCACATGCGAGCGACTGCACCGGTGCAGTTATTTATACGTTTGCCATCGATTATTTAATGAGGACCGACGTCACTTATCAATGAGCATACACCGTTGCGGCGTGTCAAATCTATTTTCGCCAGCTCGTCCTTCGACTTTTGATAGTCGCTTCGATCGATCAGTATCGCGTGACAAGGACTAATCACGCGATTTGTCCGAATATTCTAAAAATCCAGCCGAAATTGTAGTTGTTATTGTCTCTCGTTTTATTGCCACTTTAGCTGTGTTCTGCGTTAGTAGGAACATCAGGGTGTTCATAGAGTTGTTCGCAGTTCAGACAACACTTTCATGAGAACAACGGAGGCTTGTTACGTTTTACCGTTAATGGCAATATAATGAGAGTCTGCAGGAAAAGACTGAGAGAGACTGTAGTAAGACTTTGCAGGGTGTTCGCAGCTCATACGACACACTTCTGTGATAAAAATGGAAGCTTGTTACGTTTTACCGTTAGTGGCAATATAGCGAGAGTCTACAGTAATAGACCGAGAGTCTACAGTAAAAGACTTCGTAGTTTGTTCGCGGCTCATACGACACACTTCTGTGATAAAAATGGAAGCTTGTTACGTTTTACCGTTAGTGGCAATATAGCGAGAGTCTACAGTAAAAGACCGAGAGTCTACAGTAAGACTTTGCAGGTTGTTCGCAGCTCATACGACACACTTCTGTGATAAAAATGGAAGCTCATTACGTTTTACCGTTAGTGGCAATATAGCGAGAGTCTACAGTAATAGACCGAGAGTCTACAGTAAAAGACTTCGTAGTTTGTTCGCGGCTCATACGACACACTTCTGTGATAAAAATGGAAGCTTGTTACGTTTTACCGTTAGTGGCAATATAGCGAGAGTCTACAGTAAAAGACCGAGAGTCTACAGTAAAAGACTTCGTAGTTTGTTCGCAGCTCATACGACACACTTCTATGATAACGAAAGAAGCTTGTTACGTTTTACGTAGTAAAACGGAAGCTTGCTACTGGCAATATAGCGAGAGTCTACAGCGAGGAGTAACACAGTGAACGTATCGATATTAAAATCTAGAGAGATTGCAAGAGAAATGACAGAAAAATACAACATAGAGTAGACACTTCGAACATCACGTTCGCGAAGCTATTACGGTACTGCCAGCTCTCGAAGCTCATTTGTTTCATTCCGTTACCCAGGATACGACCTAGTGTTAGAATTTTCAAGGGCCATCCGTGGTTCCTATAGGTTCGCGTTTTACCGCATGAATTTCGTACGTACTGCGGTAAAAGAATTTTCACGCGATTTTCTATTCAAAGTGCACCGGCCATCGCGATATTCCCATTACACGAAGCGAGTCTGAGAATTTTAATTTTACCTTCTGGTAACGAAAGGGTGGGCTGAATGCAAGACAGCTAAAGCCAGATCAGGTCTGCTAGGAAATGAAATATCGATGTAGCTTCGTATATCCGACACAGAAACGCCATTACGGCTATCTTTGCTCGCTTGGAAATAACGTGTTCGTCTTTTTTCTGGACGGACGGATTCGTCCGGCGAATCACTTTGACTAATTAAAACGCGTTTTGCCACTTATTAACCTGCTAAAATTAAAATAAGCAAACAGGTGAGTCAAACTTCCACATTCGAGAAATCGGTCGAGCACTCAACAAAATTCAGTTACTTGTCCCAAAGTTTCCTTCTTCGTTATCTTTCAATTATCAAACTTAGAAACTTGTATTTTTACAAAGAGTCAACTCGACAAAAAGAAAGGATTTACAGCGAGGAGTTTGTAGGAAAATTAAGAGAATTCGTTTAGAGGAAGTCGACCTGGTCCTGGGCATGTCGGCCCCGAGACCGCTGTCTTCGCTCGGCGATCTATATTCCTGGTTTTCCCGAGGCAGGAGAGGTCCTGTCACTCCTAGAGGATCTCCTTCGACGTCCACCAGTCGTCCCGGACGGCAACAACCACCGGGTACACCCCTCTGCGAGAAATCATCAGATCCTGTCATGCCGTTTGCCGTTCCGTTAGCTACTTTCTCACCGGTTTCGATCGCCAACGACTCTCCGCGACAAACCCGTCTTACTTTTTTTTCCTTCTTTGCGTAAACTTTTACCGATATTGCTCCTCGATGTGGGAGACATCGTCATGAATCGAAAGTTTAACCCTTGCACTATGATTTATTTTTTGGGTCAGACAATTATTTGTCGGGTCACAGTTGCAATTTAATTTTAATTAAAAGACAAAGAAAGTTGAAATTCTATTTCATGGAAAGAGCTGTGAAATGAAAGTCGATTTCACAGCTGAAGTACAAGTTCGTCATGAGTCAATTTTTAATTCGAAGTAAGCTAATTGCAGTACAATAGAGAAATTCCTATTAACAGAATAATCAGCCACCTGTACGCTCCGATTAAGCCGAGGTTGATTTAGTCGATCGACAAATCGATGGTACGACGTTTGATTAACGGCTTTCACGGTTCCGTGATCCTCGAAACGGAAGACAGCTACCGGAAGTCGTCGTAAATCAACAGACGCGCCGATCGATGATCGATTGACAATCGCTGTTAATTAATCGGTGGAAGAGGGACAAATTGACAGGAGAGCTATTCAATTAGAAAGACCGAAATCGCGACGGAAGATTCGCGAAGAAAGGAAATACGAGAGGATGGGGTTTTGTTTGAACTCGTTGGCTACGAAACCGGCCATTAGCGAGCTAGCCCGAGCTTTGAAGGCCGGCAGGATCTTCGTGGATCTGTTTTCGCTCGACGATCTCGTGTGCGGAATAACGAAATAATATCGTGCGAGAGCTTGAGTCAAGGACCCCTGAAATCGTGGCGCACGAGATGCTTAAAACTACTCTTAGCATCTTGCGATCGAGTGCGTGATCAATTATTTACCCAGGTTCTAGCAGATTTATTTTAAACATGGGTGAATTTACGCTTTGTTTAAAATGTGAAAGTATTGATCGAGCACCCGATCGAGGCAAGACAGAACGAAACAGAAATCCAGCAAAGCTCAGGCGAACTCCCAAATATCATGTACTGTCTCCCCCGATGTGGTCAGCGTGAAAAGAGTACAGGCACTAAAGCACTAGAAAGTCTATCGAGCAAAAGCCTTTGTTCTACCTTCGAATATTCGCTTGGCTGAAGCTCTAAGCGAACGTTGCAAATCGCCAAAGAAGCCACCGGACGTGAGGCAACACTGCCGTAAGCGGGCACTAAATCATAAGCAGAGAAGCAGAAAAGAGACAGTAGCAGACTAGCAGAGACAGTAGAAGAGTCTATGAGAATAGAGAAGAAAGAAGATAGAGCAAATAGTGATGGGCTATAGCTTTTTACTAAAATTCTACATCCAGATCCTAAATTTCTAGATACCCAGAGTTAAATTGATGCTTAGTTGTATTGTACTGTATTTTATTCTCTTCAGAATTATCTAGGAGACAATTCCTCCCAATATGCCTGATGAGATGCTTAGTTAAATTGTACAAAGTCCATCACTAATTGCAGAGAGTCATGCTTAAACCGCGATAGCCGACAGCGTTGAAGCGAAAAACAAAAAGAGAAGAAAAAAGAATTTGATCAGCGGTTCGTTCCATCGAAATCGACCGTAGACGGCTGGTAACTTGATCCACTGCCTTGGACGTTCTCCAGCTCTTCTTTTCTTTGCCTCCTCTCTTCGCGCGTTCTTCGCACCTCTCCAACCACGACGATCTCTCCTCGTCCCGTTCGCTCTAGTTTCCCCGATTTCGAATCGGGAAACGCTTTTTCGAGCTATTTAAGGAACCGTTTTAACATCCAGGATACATTCAGGGTACCGATCGAAATCTTTTCGACGGGTGTAGAGAACAGAAAGACGGTGGACAACGCAGAACAAAGAGTGAGAAAGAGACAGAGATAGACAGTTTCTATGTCCCGAGAGATAGAGACAAATATACAGAGACGTGTGATTTATAGAGAGAATCATGTTCGTGTCGAATGCGTTCACTTACCGGAAGATCGTGCAGCGACGGCGTCACTATTAGATCCGAGTGCGCTCGGTCGCCTTTTCTCTGAAAACAATCAAGTCATTTCGTCAGTAAACTTCTCACATTATTTATGCAAAATTCTTAATTAGTTAGTTAATCTCTAATGCCAAATTTTTGCGAGATTACGTACCCTTGCCATAGCAACACGAGGTCTATAAACCAGATCGTCGAACGCAGCCCTGTCTTTGCTGTCGACGAGTTCTCTGAGCTCCGTCAGAAGAGTCAGCTTCTCGTGGGTGTTCAACAGATCTCCTAAACTGACCACCAGCTCCTCGATCGTCATTCGACGCGTTCTGTAATCCGCCAGGAGCTGAGAGAGAGCTGCCCTCTCGCTTCTTGCGAGTACCACCCTCGCTTTTTCCTCCACCATGGCGGCCGTTGCGGCGGAGACCGTGTGCACGCCGCCTCGATGTCTCCAATCGCTGGCGATACTGGACAGAGTTCAACAGAAATGCAAATTAATTTCTTTCACGTTAAATACCTAACTGACGCAAAGTAACTGATATAAAATATTGACTGATACAAGTATCGACTGATATAACTCCTCTAAGAATTTATCTTCGTGTCAAGATTTGAATCGCTGCATGTTAACATCGATTCAAACGCTTACGTAGGACTGGGTGGTCGATGATTTCCAGGGCTCTCCAGAAGCAGCGGATCGTGTTCAGGGTACCTGGACGTGGGCATAACGATGGGTTGGCTGGTGGTACAAGAGTGTGGAACCTTTCCGACGTCGCGAATCAGGAGAGTCATCCTCTTGTTGGTCTTCAGGATCTGCACTGCCTCGTCATGGGTCGCCTCCTCGAAGCTCTGTCCGTTCACCTCGATGATCTGATCACCTACCTGTAAACAGATAACAGGATATTTTGAACTGTGTCTAACAATCGTATCTAACCAAAAGAATTTTTCATAAAAGGTTATTTAATTATAACTTTATCAACTTGTCAAAGTAAAAAGAAATTGTCAAATCAACTGACGTCAAAAAGATAAAAATATTAGCAGAATCATTGCGTGGATAATAGAGAATGCTGAAGGCCATAGAGAATAATAGATTAGTGTCTAAAAGCCGTGTCTAGGGGCCAAAGGGTCAAAGTTCACGACATCACGAAAGACAAATTGATCGGAAAGATTGTTTGACGCGCAATCGATGTAATAGAACATTCATGAATAACGAATGCCGTCAATTAGCCCGTTACGTAATCCAATGTCAGGAAGAATTAATTAATCTGCCGTGTTAGAACGGGCGCAAGCACTTCGACGAGGAAAGTGGATCGAAGTGATGCTTCATCGGGTCGCCGGTAACGATCGCAAAGAATCCAAAAGGTAAGCACTCACGATCACTTTTCGCTCCACCGTGATTCGACAATTTAACAATCACGACAATTAATTCTCACCAGGAGGCCAGCACGATCGGCGACGCTGTCTTTGTCGACCCCTGTCACGTAGATTCCGAGACCGTACTCGAGGCCGCCCCTGATCATCAAGCCCAGAGACTGTCCAGGTTCGATGCAGAGCTCGACCTTTCTCGTCCTGGGGCCGTATCTGGAGTCCCGCGGAGGGTACAACGGCGGTGGCGAGGCTGGACGACCTTGACGATCCATCCAGCTGCAGGATTGCTGGCGACCGGAAGTGGACCACACAGGGTGGCCTCCTCTGCAACGGGGATCCAACGCTGGACCGCGTACCGTCATACTCAGGGTTCTGCAGGACTTCAGCATCTGAAAGACAGTAAAAGTTTTAAGGATCAGGGTTGACATCTAAACTTAAGTAATAGTCGTTTAAATGAAATTTTAGTGTGGGATTTCGTGTTTCGATTTTTGAAGAAAAATGTACTCTGTTTGGATGCTTAACAATGATTTCTTTGATCTATTCGTAGTTGTCGGAATCTGTCCCTGCTGACACGTGTCCTTTTGGTTCTTTTGCATAACAGAACCGTGACGGGTTTTGAATAACGCTCGAAAGCCCTTTCACGGTCTCGTTCGATAAAGTACAATGGCCTCTTTCGAATAACGCCCGTTGTATCTCGCTGGAGAAAAGTATGATTATGGTAAACGTCGTTTTACCGCGATCGATCCATAAATTATGGGAGAGGCTTTAAATTAACGCGATACCTTGAATAAAGGCCACTCGAACGTATTGGAAATGCCTGAAAGAATTCGTGGCTATTCAGAATGGGTGAAACGAGGAAAAGGCCACTCCTATGTCGAGTGTGTCACAGTTTTCTTGAATAAATATTCAAGTGATTAGACTGAACATTCATTCATTTATTTATAATAAAGGAAAAATATATACCCCTTGACAATCTTCTTTATCTATTTTGTAAATGAAGGAGTTCATTCGCGATCAAATCACTCAGATCTTTGAGTGCTCGTTTATTAGAGTTCCTACAAAAAGCTAAGGGAAGATCAACAGCTGTTTAAGCAGCAGATTCGCTCGGACAAAGATTGCCTGCTTGTTCACACACGTTCCAAGAAAATTGGCACGTGTAAGGTCAACAGGGAGCAGACAGTGCGTTCTGCGGTGACGCCACTCGGTAGCTAGGATATCGATCTCCTGGCAGTCCGTGACGTCACATCCTGCCTATCCTTGACCCGACCCGGATCACGTCCTTAGGATTCCATGCTTCTGGAAGATGCAATTTTCTCGTGTTTATGCGAAATACGTGCCGACACTCTTGGTACATTCTTCAATACAGACTTTGGTGAGACTGGTCTACCCTTCCCAATTAATCCTACTTGATTGCAGGACAAGTCCTTTGTTTGCCACTTGAAATTGAACCGTTTTCAAGGCACAAAAAGAACAAGATATTTTTTTGAATTAACCCTTTTGTTCGTATCTTATCACACTCGTGATGCACATTGTAGTTCGAACGCAAGAAATCAAAATTATGTTTGAAGCACGACTGAGTTTGTATAATTTGCATCAAGGGTGCCTGAATCCAAGATGCACCTAACATTTCAACTTTCTTTATTTATCTTAAAATTACGGTAATAATTAGCTAACTCTAACTGACGCACTTGATAAAAGTTGCAGGTCAAGAGACACATTAACGCACTCAAGTCAAGGGGTTAATAAAATAGAAGAAAAATTTCTGTAGAAAAATTCTTCGTCACTCTTTCAAATGCACCTTAAACTAGCTTAAAATACGAGAACCCAAAAATGGAAAGTAAACTTCAAATCGAAAGGGAAAAATTAGAGAACGTATAACACAGATCCATATGCACATATTTCACTTTCCTCGGACAGATAGAAACTGAATTCCAGCCAAGTGAATAACAATGACGAGTAAAGCAGAAGTTTATAGGTCAGTTGATAATCTCGTGGCCATCCTTCGAGACAATTAAATAAATAATTCATGAGGTCGAAGGGTAGTGTACGAAATCGAGTCGATCCTAACTCGCTTATCGCACTATTTTCGTTCCACTCGCGTGTACCTGTGTACTTTCGACCCAGCTCGAGGACGTCCCGTGAACCTTCGAGTTTTCGACGAACCAGGAAGTCTTATTATCAGCTCGGTCATTCTCGTGATTGCACGCAATAGTCGATGGAGATAGATTCGAAATGGATTTTCGGAATTCGTGATTGGGGGAAATAAGATGGAAGAAGAAGTAATTTATCGATAATTGTAGGGGATCCTCGTGATTACTGTTATATACGTATGCATATAAGAAATGTACGTGTACATGTACGTATGCACATTCACATTCATATGAGAAATATACATATACATATAAGAAATGTACATGTACACATATGTATACACATTCATATGCATACGAGAAATATACATATACATATTCATATACATATGCACACATGTACATATACATACACATACATATACACACATGTACCTATACATACACATACACATACATATACACACATGTACCTATACATACACATACATATACATACATGTACATATTCACACACATACATATACACACATGTACATACACATACACATATACATATGAGAAAGCTTGAAAAGTAAAATTTAAGAAAATGTGCAAAGTGTCTTTCACCCTTTCGGGTATTTCGGATCGATTCAGGCAGCATCCGTAGCTTCGTGCATTATGTAGGGAAAATAAATGACGGGGCTGAGGCGCCGAGACGCCTGGCGCCAGACAGACGTTCCACAACAGAAAAGAATCGAAGTTGAAAGTCCCATACAATTAACGATTTGATAATTGCGATAGGCCTTGACCCGTCTGAGAATTCCAGGATACGATAGGTCAGATGGATGACCCACTTTGACAGTCGAATTAAGCTTCCTGCTCCGTTGGTACTCGTAATCAAAATTGATTCAAGGTCCTTTCATTTCCATACTTGCTTTATTATTCTTTCAGCGTTCAAATATGTTCGGGTACGTTCCAGGCGTGTCTGATAGGCAGACCAGTTCGGAGAACTAATTCGAATCCAATCTGCACTCTCCATAGTCGAACTTAACTAACTTGGAGCACGATTTTAACCCCTTTTAACAACGAACTGTGCTGTGACACATTCATCACCAAAGCTGACAAACTTTTCTTATATTTTTCGTATTAACTGCAGATCGAAATGACATTTCAACCTTGTTCCTTCATGTTAAGATTGTAACACATCCCATCATGAACCTCCTTTGATCTTCCAGCGTAAATCGTTGACCGGGACAATTCGCAGCACAACAGGAAATAACACGGAGCGTTCAAAGAGTATTTGGAGAATTCCGTAGAAGCTTCTGGCTCCAGTCTGCGATATCGATCGAACATAAACGTTCGAACGGTCCGGATTAAATTGCACGCTTGTCGTAAAGTGTAACGGTGGCGGTAGCTCGTTATCTCGTAATGGCTCGTACACGCGCGGGCAAGAAACGTCGAGACGCGTCGCTAGGCGAAAACTTGGCCGGATTTATGAGGCGTTTTTCCACTGAATTCATTCAGGACGGCGCGACGGTAAATTTAGGCCGACGAGAAACTTCCGAAGCGTATTTCGTGACGTAATGGACCTTTCCGAGAGTTACGGTGCCGTTAAATGTTGGCAGTTTAACGTTCCTGAGGCACGGTTCGAGTCCGACAGCTCGATTACGCGCTTGTTTATTTAGTACGTTAATTGAAATATCAGATCTAGACTGCTTTGTGAATCACGACTGTGAAAGAGGTAAAAAACGGATATTCCTGTGACTCAAACAGAGAGTACCTTTGGCAATTTTTTTCTAACCATTGCTGTTCGAAATTATTTGATACACTGGATTTTTAAAACTCTCTTTATATCAGTGCATAGATAGAAAATCGACAACAAACTGGTTAGATTTGGTTGGAAAAACTAATCGGGTTAATCAGACTCAAAATTAATCAGCTGACAAAACATCTACAGAAAAGTCCCTGTCTGTGAAATTAAAAATTGTATAAATAAATAAATAAATAATCAAAAGGGGTATTAAAAAACGGATATTCCTGTGACTCAAACAGAGAATACCTTTGAGAATTTTTTTCTAACTATTGGACACTGCTGTTCAAAATTATTCGATACACTGTGGATTTTTAAAAAGTTCCTCTTTATATCACTGCACCAATAGAAAATCGACAACAAACTGGTTAGATTAGGTTGGAAAAACTAATTGGGCTAATCAGACTCAAAATAAATCAGCTGACAAAACATCTACAGAAAAGTCCCTGTCTGTGAAATAAAAAATCGTATAAATGAATAAATAAATAAATTGAAAAGTGGTATGGGTTTGGTAAACCTTGTTAAAGAAGTCTGTATTTTTTTATGACAGAGGGTAAAAATGACTGTCGATATTTTTAATTAGAGAGTGTTCGAAATAGGTTTTGCTAACAGAAAGAAAAAACGATGTGTTCGAAACTTGCAGGCAGTTTTCGCGTAGCTATGTGCCTCTTCATCGAGCGAGTCTGAAACCTTGATGGCCCATTGTCGACGAGCTTTTGTCTCGAAACTCCCTACCTACTATGAGAGTATGACGAGATACCGGATCCAGAGATACTCATCAGAAGCGTTTACATCAGAGATTAGTCGTGGCGTGCTTCGAGCGACCCTTCTTTTCTATCGGGCCAGTCGATAGAGTCCATGTTCTTACATTTCTGCTCGACGACACCGTGAAATTTCTAGGTCTCGATGACGTCGTGGTTATTGGACACTGCGAAACTTTATATTGATTCTACTTTTCGTTTTGATCAATTTTTGTACGCGATTAGTCTTCTGCTTCGATGTTTCGGTCGATTTCTAGTCTGCGGTTTGATCCGCATTTCATCGTGGTTCATTTTCGAGTTAATCGATTTTCTGTTTGGACTCTTTTGTAGTCTTCAGTTTTAATTCCTTTTTATTGTAATCAGACGGTAGTTAATTGTGAGCAGACTACTGTTTCTGTATTTTTTGAAAGGCGAGTAAATTAAACAATGTTAAGCAGGAATGAGTTAAGTTTATAAAGGACGATAATACTATTAAAAGTTTGACGATAACCAGCCTCGAACCGCTGGCTTTTTCGTCAAGTCGCTTCAAAGTTAAATTAAGCGAGATCCCACGAAATTTTCTGAGGTTTAAAAAAAGATCTAAAAGCGAAATCACGGTAAAAACTGAGGAGAGAAAGAAGTACACTTGATAATTGAGATCAAAGATGTCCCGCTGCAGTCGGCATCAATCGGCTAAGACAAAACGGACTTTAAACGAGCTGAAATCAGCGTTATTTTGCCACTTCGCAGATTCTCTATTTACGGATCTCCAGTTTTAAGCAAAGATTTCGATCCCTAGTCAGTGAGAATTCCGTTTCCGTACAAAACAGGTAATTTCTGAGAGGATAAGTTATCTCAAGGTAGCAGGGTATGACCTCGATCGCACCAATGGCACGGATGATTCGATGTTGATTTTTAATTGCGATCAGGCACGTCGCCAGGAGCTCGTGTTTGGGGAAACGTTCCAAAATCGAAGATACACAGAAGCGACGAAACGAACTTGGATTTTATTAGCAATCTGTCGTTCGGTTAACGCTGGGAATCTACCTTTGTTACTCGTGCAACTTTACTGTTTATATTTACGCTGACTTTATAATTGCGTTATGGTTCTGTAACGATTCTGGATGAAAATAGAACCTATATTTTGTCTGCCTTGTTTTTTGAGTTTATGTACAAACATCTGGGAGAAAGAGATGTTTTAATTATTCAAAGGTTGAAACCTCTTGTACTGTTTTGAGGTGTTTGACTCGTGACGCACTGGTGACGCAGTCATGACGCACTCGTGGTACAATCATGACGCACTCACGACGCACTCATGATGCACGCATGACGCACTCATTGTAAACTCATGACGCACTCGAGATACAGTCGCGACGCACTCATGACGCACTCGCAATACAGTCACGACGCAATCGTGACGCACTCGAGATACAGTTACGACGCAATCATGACGCACTTGAGGTACAGTCGTGACGCACTCAAGATACAGTCGCGACGCACTCAAGATACAGTCGTGACGCACTCAAGATACAGTCGCGACGCACTCATGACGCATTCGAGATACAGTCACGACGCAATCGTGACGCACTCGAGATACAGTCGTGACGCACTCATGACGCACTCGAGATACAGTCATGACGCAATCATGACGCACTCGAGATACAATCGCGACGCACTCGAGATACAGCCATGACGCACCCGTGGCATATTCATGACGCATTCGTGACGCACTCTCGACGCATGACATATTCATGACGCATTCATGACGCACTCCCGATTTGTTCATGACGCACTTGTGACACACTCGCAACTTGTTCATGACGCACTCACGACGCACTCCAGCTGTGATCAATTTTACTTGAATTTTTCATACGGTATAATTTGAAGTTCAATAGTAATTTGCATAATGAACGACAGCATAATAATGGAGTATATAAATTCAATTTGTTTTGTCTGTTTTAAAATTGTACATTAGGTGCGATGCACCTGGCACTCATGGTACAATCATGACGCAATCATGACGCACTCACGACGCACTCATGATGCATTCATGACCCATTCGTGACGCATTCGTGACGCACTCCCGACTCGTTCATGACGCACTTGTGACACACTCGCAACTTGTTCATGACGCACTCACGACGCACTCCAGCTGTGATCAATTTTACTTGAATTTTTCGTACGGTATAATTTGAAGTTCAATAGTAATTTGCATAATGAACGACAGCATAATAATGGAGTATATAAATTCAATTTGTTTTGGCTGTTTTAAAATTGTACATTAGGTGCGACGCACCTGGTACTCATGGTACAATCATGACGCAATCATGACGCACTCATGATGCATTCATGACCCATTCATGACGCACTCCCGACTTGTTCATGACGCATTCGTGAGGCACTCCACCTGTGATCAATTTTGCTTGAATTTTTAATAATGCTTCAACTTGAAATTCAAGTCTAATGTCCATAGTCAACGATTGTAAAATATAAGACATAATATTTCAAATTTCTCTGGTGTAATATTGTAGGGTTCGACAGCCGACAAATTGTGGGGCAAGGGTTTGAAGTATATTTTGTTATAAGGAGGGTTGAAAGGTATCGATAACGAGTAAGATATTGAAAAGCGTGTAGAAAGATAGAAACTCACTTTGAGGGCCTCCTCGTGGGTCACCGCCCGGAAGGGTGTGCCGTTCACCTCCAAGATGGTGTCTCCTGGCCTCAGTCCAGCACGCTCGGCCACCGAACCTTCCTCCACCCTCGAAATGTAGACACCCACCCCTGAGAACAATTCACAGACTTTCCATCAGGCCGGAAGCTGCCTGGCGACCGGTCCACGAGCGGTGCTGGCTAAAATCTTCCACCCAGGACGCTTTTTTCGAACTTTCGTCATTAACCCTTTCGGATCTTATTACGCTTCGCGCTCGTCCTTTTCATCGTCAAAAATTTGCAGAGTTCTCCTCTGACTTTTTAAGACTAAATTCACGGTACACTGATCTTAGATTTCTTATTTTAAATTGCAAAGGTATTTTTTTAATGTTGACTTCCATCAAAATTTACGTAATTTATTTCTTTTCTTTTTTGCTTTAGTTCCAGTTTGAAAATTCGACACGAAACCGTAAATGTAACGTCACAGAAAGGTCAAAGTGTCCGTCCAGTATTGTGATTCAGCTCGCACCCCGAGAAAAGGCGAACCTCCATAAATCACGAAGAAATCGGTCCATTAGAATGCAAGGGTGGTCGAAACGATCAGTAAAATTTTTCTCGTCCCACCGAAATTGGCAAGTTCGGCGTCATGGGTAGAATCACAGGGGTCGTGTTTGTCAAATGAAACAAGGGAGCGGCGCAAAAATGTGAAGATATGCGAAGGCAAAACAGTGTCTTGCGATATGGTGCGTGTCTCTGTTTCTCACGGACTGTGACAAGGTTCATGCACGGACTTTTCTGCGGAAACTTAATTAAAAACTTCTGCTAGTTTTCGTAAATTATTTAATTTCGCAAAGACTACGTTTATTTTTCGCTCGCATTTCCGCAGAAAAATGGTAATGTGATGCAATAATGTTGATGACTGGCTGAGCATTCGAGCTCGTGCGGCGAGAATTCGTGAGAACATTAATCAGATGCACACCGTGTACAATTAATTTCTTGCACAGCTTTTTGCAGCGTTTCTGTTTTAATGTTGTTTCGTTGCGATTTGTCGTTGATTCGTGCACGTTGAAATTTAGGATGTTTGACAAAAAATACTTGTAATGGACTTTGAATAGAAATCGAGTTTGTTACAATTCTTCGTAGTTTAACAAATTTCTGTGTATATTGAAATTAAAGTTTGACAAAAAAATACTTGTAATGTACTTTGAATCGAAATGAAGTTAATTACGATTTGTTATAAATTTTTGTGTACATTGAAGCTTAAAAAGTTTGACAAAAAAATACTTTTAATGTACTTTGAATCGTAATGGAGTTACTTATGGTTTGTCATAAATTTTTGTGCACATTGAAGCTTAAAAAGTTTGACAAAAAAATACTTTTAATGTACCTTGAATCGTAATCGAGTTACTTATGATTTGTCATAAATTTTTGTGCACATTGAAACTTACAAAGTTTGACAAAAAATACTTTTAATGTACTTTGAATCGAAATCGAGTCACTTATGATTTGTCATAAATTTTTGTGCACAATGAAACTAAAAAAGTTTGACAAAAAAATACTTGTAATTCGAATCGAGTTACAATTTGCACATAGAAAAAGTAAGATAATCGAAAATACTTCTATCGAAATTAAACTTTACTATCTCAGAAAATATATCACTAAATCAGTATAACGAGCTCATTGTTCCCCTTATCTCTTTTATTAGCCAGATTAATCCCAGCTCCTAACTGGGCTATCGACGAGAAAGCAGATCAATTACCGTTAGGAAATTCCCTAGGGGTGGTCTGAGCATTCCGTAGCTACAACATAGGCTTCCAAGTACCCTCGAAATTTCGGGAGTTTTGAAAATCCAAAAGCAGATTCACGGTTAAAGCAATTAGCTGCTCAATTGAAATGATACAAACGTTGAATCGTTAGTCAGAACTAATTTGTGTAATGCATAATGCATTGGAACGACGAAGATAATCCGGTATGTTCCGCTGCTTACAATTAGAATTGTTGCTTAATTACTTCGCGCTAACGAGGCTCAATCCTATTCTTCTCGTTCCCTGCCGTGTGATCGTTCTTTAGCCTCCGAATCGATTACTCAAACCACTTCGAAACTCATTCCGATTAATTTCTGCGACTTAACACGTGTTTTCGATTATCGTACCCTTTACGACTCTTTCGATTTATATTTCAAATAGGAATTTTTTAAAATAATTAATTAGTATGTTACACATGTGTATATTACATATGTGTATTACATATGTGTGTATTACACATGTATGAATATATTGGAACAGACAGAAATTATTACTAAAAAATTACTTATTAAATTGAACTTTCCTCTCAATATTATTAAACTTTTAAACCAATGAATTTCAAAATTGTTCACAAAAATTTTAACAATAAATTTGACTGCAAAAATTTACTTTCACTGTGTTCATCTACTCTTGATTTCTTACTCGAAACAATTCGTAAAAATTTCTTTTTTAAAGAAAAGAAAAATTATTACTAAAAAAAATAACTTATTAAATTCAACTTTCCTCTCAATATTATTAAACTTTTAAACCAATCAATTTTAAAATTGTTCACAAAAATTTTAACAATAAATTTGACTGCAAAAATTTACTTTCACTGTGTTCATCTACTCTTGATTTCTTACTCGAAACAATTCGTAAAAATTTCTCTTTTAAAGAAAAGAAAAATTGTTACTAAAAAAATAACCTTATTAAATTCAACTTTCCCTTCAATATTATTAAACTTTTAAACCAATCAATTTTAAAATTGTTCACAAAAATTTTAACAATAAATTTGACTGCAAAAATTTACTTTCACTGCATTCATCTGCTCTTGATTTCTTACTCGAAACAATTCGTAAAGATCAAAGTAGTAAAGAAGGAAGCTACCCATAAAAAATATGTTTCACTCAAGAAACGTGCTTTGTACTTAAAAACCCGAGCTTCGACGCCGAAAATTTATACCGCAAATTTCTTCTATGTGTGTGTAACCCGCGTGTGTTTCTTCTATAAATTCATAAACTATGCGCATATGCATCATACACTGTCATGCAACGAAATGCCGGCGTGCTAAGCCTAGAGGCATCCTCCGTTGCTATAATTGCAAAATTCTGACGATAAATCGTCGGAAGAACGAGAGAAAGGATCCTTTTAACATTCCTCGAATCTTTGCGGAGCGAGGAGTTTCAAACGGAATCACGCGAAAATTTGCGTTGGGAATTTGCTCCTTTGTGGTAGAATGATAAGCTGATTCTTTCACGCTCTACATTATTTACTTTAACCCTCTGCGCTCGAGGGCTGACTCTCAGTCACCGTTTATTTAATACAATAATTTGTAATAAGCTTTAACTGATGACCTTGATAACCTTGATTTTGTAATATAACACGTGTGATGTATACACATAGTGAAACAAACAATAATGGAAATTATTCTAATAACCTCAAAAGAATTCATTTAACTTTTTATCTAAGTTTTAAAATTGCTGTTTGCAAATAGTCAAATTACCTTCGAGTGCAAAGAGTGCAAATTTTTACTTTATTTTACTACATGTTTATATTTCTGAAAATTCGTTGTGTACGGCAAAAATCGAGTGTACGAATCGAAAGACGTATCCAGGTTAATCCGTCCTCATCGCAAAGCTGGTCAGCGAAAGAACTCTCGAGCAAAAAGAAGGAGCAAAGGGACACTTGTTCCCTTCGAAACGGGGACAATCGAAACTGTATTCCGATCCGGGGTCCAGCCACCTGTTCCCACTTTTAGAGACTCGATTTACCGTCCTTTGTGAGGAGAAAAAGAAACGAGCTGGCTCGATTATCTGGAAAATCTGTCTCAAAAGCGGGGAGAATTTCGACTCGTTAGCCAACTGGAAGAATGGGGTAATCGACAGAGAAATGTCCGAACGTGGCATAATTGTTTAGAATCATTTTTGTTATACTTTCGGGAAATCCTTTCTCTCGTTGCCCTCTAGTCTCAAGCCCGGCCGATCTGCGCATAACACTCTCATGCGACATCGATCGTTACTCAATGTGTGCACGTGTGTGTACGTGAGTGTTGGACGTGGATAGTCGAAAATCACCCGAAGATTGAAACCACTGACATTTCGATACAGGAGATTTTAAACATCTTGCCCTAACTTTTGAACATCAGTAACAATTTATACAAATAGTTATTTGAAAAGCTTTGACGAGAGTACAGTTACTTTAATGATAGTTAAAAGACGGTTTAATAAAAAAGATCTCGGTCGAAATTTCGATACAGGCGATTTTAAATATCTTGTCATTACTTTTGAACATCAGTAACAATTTATATAAACATTTCTGTTATTTGAAAAGCTATTACTTTGACAAAAGTACAGTTATTTTGACGATAGTTAAAAGACGGTTTAATAAAAAAGATCTCGGTCGAAATTTCGATACAGGCGATTTTAAACATCTTGTCATAACTTTTGAACATCAGTAACAATTTATACAAACATTTCCCTTGTTTAAAAAGCTATTACTTTGACAAAATTACAGTTACTTTGACGATAGTTAAAAGACAGTTTAATAAAAAAGATCTCGGTCGAAATTTTGATACAGGCGATTTTAAACATCTTGTCATAACTTTTGAACATCAGTAACAATTTATATAAACATTTATGTTATTTGAAAAGCTATTACTTTGACAAAAGTACAGTTACTATGAC